ATCTATGTGGGCTTCAAAACTTTAGAAGCGAGGGGGGGCCCTAGAAGGGCTGGACACACGTCAAGTTGCAGGCTGGACATCCAGACAGTTGCATCCAATGGGTGTTTTGCCAGCTACCCTCCGCTGATGTTTGCAGCATTTTGATTGGACTTTATATGGATTCTTGGTCTGCAAACCCTATAAAAGTTCCAGGGGTAACACCCCTCCGTTCAGCCTTTGTGGAAGAGACTGCGCTGAACCTATTTACTGCAGTAAATAAACTTTTGGACTCTTTCTTCAGCCCAACTCAGGAGGAGTTAATGGCACTAGTGAGACAGCAGATTTGCCCTTCAACAACAGGGCAGCAGAAGCGTTAAGACATAGACCTTCAGCTCCACCCAAAACTCCCTTGGCCAGCTCTACTTTATTCTATAAATGCTCCTGGCAACGTGGGAATGATGGTTTTGCCCAGGGTTGCTGTGCAGGAGTCAGCAAACTTTTTCAGCAGGGGGCCGGTCCACTGTCCCTCAGACCTTGTGGGGGGCCGGACTTTATTTTTTTTTAAATACATGAACGAATTCCTATGCCCCACAAATAACCCAGAGATGCATTTTAAATAAAAGCACACATTCTACTGATGTAAAAACACGCTGATTCCCGGACCGTCCGCGGGCCAGATTGAGAAGGTGATTGGGCTGGATTCGGCCCCCGGGCCTTGGGTTGCCTACCCATGCTGTAGGTGTTCTAGAGATATCAACTGGGAGTGCTTGAAACACGTGCAGTAGTAGAAAAGCTGAGGATTATTGCTCAGGGGAAGGGGGAACTGGGAGAAATGTGAGGGAGGTCCCCAGGGGCAAAACCACCCCAATCCTCGCCCACCTTTCAAGAGGAACCTGCCAGGAATCTTGGTGGGGAAGTAGGTTTGCTGGATGTTCCAACAGACGCCGTCCCTGCAGAGATGGAGGAGAAGACCAAGCATTCAGGGCAGTATTCCAGCGGCCGGTCCACGTCAGGCCGGATCCTGTTCCATAGGCTGTTTGCCTAGGAACAGCCAGCACCAGAAAAACACATCCCTCCTTCCGCAGAAAAAAACAAAGGCATTGGCTCTATGTGCGCATGTAATAGTTGCTCGAAAGAGCATTCCTTTGGGTTACCACATTTATACCTCACTAGATTTCCTCCAAAGGTGGCAGACAGAGTCCTCCAGGGAAAAACTTTCTGACAGTAAGAGCTATTCGACTGTAGAACGGTCTCCCTCGGGAGGTGGTGGACTCTCCTTCCTTGGAGGTTTTTAAGCAGAGGTTGGATGGCCATCTGCCAGGGATGTTGTAGCTATTGGTGTTTTGCAACTTTGACCTGTTGCAGGACCTTAGCCAGACCTTAGCAGAGCATACGCAGAGTTCCAGAAATCAATCAGTTGCAGGCAGGATGGACGAAGCAAGAACAAGACGCTGCTACCAGTAACTTGGTTACTTAGAGGTGATTATCAAAAACAGCAGACTCTACAAGTTACTATGTACAAGAACAGATGCGGATCTTAACTGGCTCTCTCTTAACAAACTCCAAACGACTCTCAAAACACCACACTGACCAACAACACTATCCAGTCAGTAAGGTCATAAGTCATCATGCCTGTGTGAAACATCAACCAATGGTAGAGCTGTATCCAAGATCCCATATCTCTAGGCAGAATAACTCCTCTGCTCAGTCATCCTTGGCTTTTGGCCACCTTCTAATTGCTTTGTGTGAAGCTGCACAGAATGGCATGTAGTAGAAAAATCCCAACAGTCGCTGAGATTCCTCTAATGCAGGTGGTTGGAGTAGAGGAACCTTGGGGTCCCTTCCAACTCTACCATTCTATGATTCTTGGGGACCAACAAAGAGGATGACCTTTCCTCTACACCCCATTCATCTGGGCCCAGCGGATCCCGCCGGCTTCCTCGGATACTCACAGCGGGCGGAAGGTGCTCACCAACAAGGATCCCTGAGAGCTTGCACCACCCACAGAGACCACCAGGTTGGTTGCTTCAAGCCGGTGGCTGTTTTCACTCAAGTAGCTGCATTGCGAGGCCACCCCGACCAGGAACCATTTCCCAGCAAACTGGAAGAGGGGAGAGAGAGAGAGTCAACTTGGGACAACCTAGGACGTCGCTCTTTTCATCGGAGAAATCTTGGAGGGGAGAAGCAACGACAAACCTAGACAGCATCTTAAAAAGCAGAGACATCACCTTGCCAACAAAGGTCCGTATCGTCAAAGCTATGGTTTTCCCAGTAGTGATGTATGGAAGTGAGAGCTGGACCATAAAGAAGACTGATCGCTGAAGAATGGATGCTTTTGAATTCTGGTGCTGGAGGAGACTCTTGAGAGTCCCATGGACTGCAAGAAGATCCAACCTCTCCATTCTGAAGGAAATCAGCCCTGAGTGCTCACTGGAAGGACAGATCCTGAAGCTGAGGCTCCAATACTTTGGCCAACCCATGAGAAGAGAAGACTGCCTGGAAAAGACCCTGATGTTGGGAAAGATGGAGGGCACAAGGAGAAGGGGACGACAGAGGATGAGATGGTGGGACAGTGTTCTCGAAGCTATCAACATGAGTTTGACCAAACTGCGGGAGGCAGTGGAAGACAGGAGGGCCTGGCATGCTCTGGTCCACGGGGTCACGAAGAGGAGGACATGACTAAATGACTAAACAACAACAACAAATTTCCAGTGGAGAATGTGAGGGGGTGTACATCAGAGTAGGTCCTCTGAAATGGATGGATATGAGTCTGACTTCAGTTCATTAATTTCAGTGTGTATCCTCTTGAGTAGAACTTGGTTGGATACAGCCCACTGAATGTGAGAGGGTAAATAACACTAACAATATTGTTAAGCGATTTTAAAAAATAAGATTTGTGTGGATGGGGGAGTTCGTTTGTTCGTTCCTCCAAACCAAGGATATCCAACCTGATGTCCTCCATCTGTTTTGGACCACAACTTCCATAAACCCCAGCAAAGGTCAGAGATGATGGGAGCTGTCCATCACCACCTGCAGGTCACCCCGTTAGCCTTTTCTGCCCCAAATCACACTGGAAAGCATAGACAACTTGCAAAAGCATTGAGTCTTGTAGCACCTTAACAACCAACAGATTTTCGGTCCCTTGCGTTTTAAACTTTGTCATGGGGTGTGACAGGTGGTTTTAAATTATCTAAGCTAAATGGAATTACTTGGCATGGATCAAATTTAGAATTTGAGAACCAAGGTGTGCCATATCCCGCCAGTGTGTAAATATCACATTATGGAGCGAGGTTCTTGACAACGCACACAAGCTCAGGGGTGTTTTTTCAAGAGGTGGGGGTTGTTGGGAGGGAAGTTCCCACCTGGCTTCCCCTTCACCTGTGGACCCAGGACTGAGGACGCCTTTGTGACTGGCTTGACACCTGCCAGGTGTGCAAAACAGAGACAGAAAGGTAAAGCACAACGCTGTAAGAAACGCCATCATGCGAGAGGAGGGCAGGGACAGGGTCCAGATTGCTCTGGGACGTTTGGACAGAGCTCTTTCTGGAACCTTCCTTCTGACGCAGATATTAAAGAGGATTTGCTGTCAACAGGGGATGAACGAAAACCCTTCCGGTGAGATCCAGGAGCACCGGCTGGTGCGACAGGGGAGGAAAACACTCCGATTAATATCTTGCAGCCACCTTTAGAAACATCCCGGAGGGTAAAGAAGCAGGGCATTCCATGACATCACAGCATCTCAGCCAATGATTGAGAGGCAGTTTTGGACAGCTCTAGCTCGGCTATCTTGCCCCACTCCAACCCCAGAAGAAATTGTGTTTCCCTTTCCAAATCCATCTGCTCACCTGGCCAAGATCGAAGTTGGCCTGGACGTCAATCTTGTCAATGGGATTCTCTGGGGCTGGGCGTTTTTGGGGACGCCGGGCAGCGCCGGGTGCAGCAAGGAGCAGGGGGAGCAAGAGGACGAAAGGGAACGAGGTGGGACCCATGGCTGGACTGCGAAGAGCTTGTGGGGCAGGAGAGGAGGGGGCGAGAGCTGGTCGGTCATTAACCAGCCCTATGAATCTTCCTGGAAGTCCGAAGCCAGGGCTGACCCAAAGGGAGCAAAGTCTCACTAGCTTGTGAAATCGATGCCTGTCAGCAGACGGCAGAGACTTCCTGGCACCACCATGAAAAGGGGAGTGGAGCAGAGGTGTGTACATCTGTCTTATTCTGCTTTAAATAAAAATACAAGTGGTCTGCATAGATTGTCCACCCCACCTCCCATCCCAGGCTGCCTTTCCCCCATGAAATTTGCCTAATCTCCTCCCCTTGACAAAATGACCACTACCTTATCTTGTGGCAGTGAGTTCCATCAATTAGCCTAGGTGTTGTGCTGTGATGGGCCTGCTTTCGTAAGGAGTCCTGCAGACATCAGACCAACATCTTAGTTTCCCACAGTGGTGTGTTAGATGGCCAAATGCAGCATTGGCCAACTGGGGGTTATCCAGCTGTTTTGGACCACAGCTCCTGTCATTCCCCCAGCAGCACATCTGGAGGCCACCAGCTTAGCCAAGGTTACCCCAATAGGAAGGCTGCGCACAAGGCAAGATGGCAACAGCCCTCCCCAGTTTTATGCCTCCGTTTCAGGGCTACTGAGATAAGGCTACATCTAACTCCCCATTCCTTTTCACACAGTGGACACAGCTGGACAGGTGTTGCCGCCTTGGGGGAAATAGCCGCTCTCCACGGGTAAAGTACCTTTGGAAATGGAGGCTCCGTGGAGCTTACTATTTCTTTCCTGGCGATTTCCTTCCTTGTTGCAAGAGGGATAACAGATTTACTTCTTTTTCCCTGTTACAATTGACTTTAATATGACCAGGGTGGAACAAAGGTTTTGGTGGGAAATGGCAGAGTTACAGTTCAAGCTCAATTCTGAATCTGAACCAAGCTTTGGTTTGCACAGTGTAAATAACTCTGCATGTGCTCATTGGTGTATCAATGCCAGGATATTTGTGTTATCGGCAACTCTCTCTCCCTCTCTGGCCATGGTTAATTGTGCAATTATAACCTTTGCCCATGTCTTTGTCTCATGGCCTTCTGACCTCACAATTCACAATCCTTAGCTCTAAAACAACAACAACAACAACAACTTGTGCATATCTTTTTTTTAAAAAAAAAGTATTGCAAGGACTGCTGCCGTTTTGTGGAAACATCCCATAAACACAAAGTTATGAGAGAAAAACTGCTCCTTTTCCCTTATGGGGTACCCAAGAGCCCATATAGAGTCCTAATGTAGGTTCTCCATCGGTCGGAGAAAATAACAGAGGCCAACCAGAGAATATTGAGAAGCAAAGCAGCTAGTAAGCCTGATCTTTATTAAAGCTGTTGCAACGGGGGGCTCCTCTCATACGCAGGAGGGAGGAGAGGAACCGAGAACAGTGGTGTGCAAACTCCTATATAGACTTTTGAAATTCCCACCCTCCAGTTCAAGACCACCCCCCATCATACATACATCACAGGAAGGGCGGACTACAACAGAAATCTGAGCGCGTTGTTTTCCCCCCCTTGTCTGCTCGGTTGCTTGACTGGATTCCCTGGGCATCCTGGCCACTCTTGTTACTCCATGCCTGAATCCAGGTCACAGGCTCACACCCTATTCATATCTTTAATGTGCCCTTAAGACAGGACTTGTGAACGAGACAATGGGGAGATTTCCCATTTCCTTCGACCTTGCAGAGAAATATTTGAGGTCATTTTGGGAGAGAGAAAATGGTTTCAGGACTTTTCTGTGGGTTTCGGACATGTGTTTTACATATTTGTATGTGTTTGCTTGGTACATTTATGAACATTATTATATATATAACCTTAAAATTATTATAACAGTAACATAATGACCAATATGTTTTAATGTGGACCCATCTTCACGAGTTCTCCTTCCCTCTCTCAATTAAACCCGAAACCCCCCTTTTGATGCTGCAATGCACAATATTCCGCCAGGGGGCGCCGCGGCCGAGCTCCCTCTTGTGGCCAAACAGCGAATTGTCTCCGGGCTCGTCTTCTCCCGCCGCGCCTGCGCAGGGAGAGCGGCGGACGACGGAGGGGAACCACAGAGAAAGGATGCCTAGAGGGATTAAGCATAGAGCAGGGAACGGAAGGCGGCTTCTGACGGTGGCGGCCGGAAGCGGAAGGGCCCTTCCGGAAATGATGTAGGAAGCAGCTGGTAGGAGGTCTGTTGTTGTGGGGGGGAAGGGTGGGGGGAGTCGCCTGGGAGGCCGGGGGGGGAGGGGTCCCCAAAGAGATGCGAGGGGGAGGGGAGCCTGTATGGATGGGGGGGAGGGGGCCAAGTTGGGGAATAGGGGGGAGGGGGGCTGAGAACCAGAACAAACCAGTCAAAAGGCCCAAGAGGGGAGATGGGAGGGGGGGGAGAGAAATGGGGAGAGTATCTGCAGCGGGGGGCAGGAGGCAGTTTTGGCTGGTTTGTTATTTATTATTATTTATTTCCTAACATTTATGCACCCCTCCATTGCAGAAAACCACAATGCAGCAAAAATAAGATAAAACTGACAGAGGGACCCACGGAGGGGAGGGTGGGAAGTCTGGAGATTCAGAGAAATCTCTAAATGTGGATATGTATTTTTTATTTTTCTAATTTTACACTTGTAAAATCAAATTAAAATTATTTTTTATAAAAAAAAATGCAAAATAGAGGGGGAATCCACAACCCTACTTTTAAAAACACACCATTGTGAAAATACTGAAGCAGATGGCAACGGCCTTGATTTCCTAAGCATCTGGGTGAAGCTTATCTAAGCAGGGAATTTTTTTAGCAGATGGCACCTGCCTGGGCTCCAGAGGCAGGGAGCTCCAAAGTACTGGTGCTGCCACATTAAGCGACCATGTTCTTGCCACATACGACCTGTTCTGCAGGGCCAGTTCTGCCACTTGAAGAGTGCCAGTCGGCACCAGGAGACACACCATCTGCTAGGTAAATTGGTCCTGAGTTGCTAAGGGCTTTATATGCTCATAGTAGCACCTTGAACTAGGCCCAGCAGCAAATTATCAGCCGGTGCACATCTCTGAGCAGAGGTGTTACATGCTGACAAGGCCTCACAAGGTTTGAAGCAGAAGGGAGAGGGGGTTACCCCCTACAAATTTCAAGTTATTTGGCAACAAGCAGTGTCCGAAACTCCCATTGTTCTAGGTGCATTTTGCGACAATTTCATTAGCGCAAGCAGTTTTGAGCTCTGGGCGCAGTAGGGCGCCTAAGATATGAGATTAAGACTGCAGAGTGGGAGGAAAGGAGGACCCCAGCTACTCTGAAGACTGGAGAAGAGACCCTCTTAAGAATATTAGGAGGTGGGCAGGGGAAGGACTAGTCCATGTGAAAAATGAGCATAAGATTTTAGCTGCAGTTTATTCATTTTCAGCTTTGTATTCTTGCCATAAAAAAAGTAGGACATTCCATTGTTGCTCCCATAACCATGGTTTAAGGTGCCATTTAGCTCCTGGCTTCCATATCTCAGTTTCTAACTGGCAACAAGAAATTGCTGCTTGAGTTTGCTTCCCCCCCCCCCCCTTCCATCCTCATCCATTTCTCCTCTCATGTGTCTCTCTTTCTTGAAGAACGCAAGCCTGCAGGAGCAGGCACTGTTTTGTTTTCACCAACTGTGACCAGGGATTTGAACCCTGGTTTCCAAGTTCCTAGTCCAAACACCACACCATGCTGTCTCTCTTTTTTGTCGTAGCCGCTTCTTCGCCTACCGTTCTAGAGCATCCTTTGCCTAAACCTGTCACCCTTTCCCTTGGTCTTGCAGGGCGCTTGGCAGTGACAGGATGCCACGATGGACGGTGGGGTTCTCCCTGACAGCATCCTTTTTGAGATATTCCTGTACTTGGACTACTCAGACGTCCTCTCAGCGGGGCTCGTGTGCCGGCAGTGGCATGCCGTGGCGCTGGACGAAGTGCTCTGGAAGGACCTTTTCTACAGATACTATCCAGTAGCCCGGGACGTCCCACGACACCCAGGTATGTCCTCCCTTGCAGAGCAGGCAGCCTCAAAACTGGAAAAGAGTAATTGCTGTGCCCCTAATCTGTTGCCCCGTACTGGGGTCAGCTCGGTTTGGAGGTGAGGCTTATAGCTGAGGAATGAGGAAAATTGGAAACAGACTGGAGAGTGAATCTCGCACTCAAGGCAGAGAGAGGAAGCAAGGAATAACACTTGTAGATCTTCAGCTGGGATAGCTCAGCCTGTAGAGCAGGCAACTCTTTATCTCAGGGTTGTGGGTTTGAGCCCCACGTTGGGCAAAATATTCCTGCATTGCAGGGGGTTGGACTGGATGACCCTCAGGGTGCCTTCCAACTCTACCATTCTGTGATAATGACAGCAGAAAGAGAGGCCAGCTAGGATAATGCAGGATAGTAGAAATGCTGCCTGAGTCTAGGTCTCTGGCTATTTATTGATTTCATTTATTTGTTTAGAGCAGGGGTCAGCAACCTTTTTCAGCCGTGGGCTGGTCCACCATCCCGCAGACCATGTGGTGGGCCGGACTATTATTTTGAAGGGGGGAAATGAACAAATTCCTATGCCCTACAAACAACTCAGAGATGCATTTCAAATAAAAGCACACATGTAAAAACACCAGGCAGGCCCCACAAATAACCCAGAGATGCATTTTAAATAAAAGGACACATTCTACTCATCTAAAAACACGCTGATTCCTGGACCGTCCACGGTCCGGATTGAGAAGGCGCATCCAGCCCACGGGCCTTAGGTTGCCTATCCTTGGTTTAGAGCATGTGTGCTAGGCACTCCTGCTGAAAAGGCTCCTAGAGCAGCATATTTACAAGCAAAACAAGACAGTCCCTGCCCCTGCAGGCTTACAATCCACAAAACAAAACAAGACCATGGCACACAAGGAAAGAGGGAGGAGAGGGAGAAGGAAAATCAAAACCTGGACACCAGTTTCTGAACAGTTGCTGCTGTGATGGCCAAATGCTGGCCCATTTCCGGGGCTGGCGGTGCCTGAGGGAGAGGCAGCCTGATGCAATGGCTGCCCCTTGAGGGAAAGGAGGCTTGATGGAGGTGGTCTGGTAATCCCTTCAGATTTTCAGCGAGGGGTGGTGGGTCCTGCTGCCCCCCTCCTCTTCCTCTTCCTCTGCAGCTGCCACTTCCTGGTATGGCGAGTTCCAGCGGCTGTCTGACACCATCCCCTGCGTGGAAGTCCAGACGTTGGCGGAGCACGGCGACCAAGTCCTCCACCTCAGCTTCTCCCACAATGGCTACCTGCTGGCCTCCTGCTCCAAGGACTGTACTGTTAAGGTGACGCAGGGCAGAGGGGAACGAATCCTAACTAGAACGCAGTGTGCTTCAAGCAGCTGAAGCTTTGCTCCATAATCCTCACAGCAACCCTGGAAGGTAGGTTGCTTGTTCTGATCCCTGCGTCGGTGACGGGGATTGAGAGCAGAGAGACCCAGCCTGAGAGCGCCGCCTCAGCCCTGAAGAGAGCAGGGTGATTTGGGCCCAGTCATCCTTTCTGCTTCACCTACCTTGCAGGGTTCTTGTGGGGATGGCATAAGCAGGCGAGGGAGTCTCCTGTGCGCTGCCGAAACCTTCCTGGAGGAAAGGCGGTATTGCCGTGGGTTGGGCTGGATGACCCTCAGGGTCCCTTCCAGCACTAGGGTTCTGTGAAAGGGCAGGGGGGGCATTCTAAGGCAGGACTGTGTGTCCTGTACTTTAAATACACACATAACCACTCAGGGTCATGAATTTGAGTCCCATGTTGGGCAGAAGATTCCTGCATTCCTGCAACTCTTCCAATGATTTCCCATAGAAACACTAAATTCTCCAACTCAAGACGAACATTCATGGTCTCTTTTATACAGTCAAACCTCAGTCACCGGACATAATCCATTCCGGAAGACCGTTCGACTTCCAAAACGTCTGACAACCAAGGCGTGGCTTCCCTTGGTTGCAAGAGCTTCTTGCACTCAAACAGAAGCCGCGTTGGACATTCAAGTTCCGAAAAATGTTTGAGAACCAGAGCGTTTACTTTTGGGTTTTCGGCATTCGGGAGCCAAAGCGTTCAAAAACTGAGCCGTTCAAGAACCGAGGTTTGACTGTATTGCATTATTTCTGGAGTGGGTTTTGCTGACCATGAGAGGGACAAAAATCTAAACCAGGGTTTCCCAAACTTGGGTCTCCAGCTGTTATCATCATCCCTGACAACTGGCCCTGCTCTTTGGGATGATAGGAGTTGTAGTCCAACAGCAGCTAGAGACCCAAGTGAAATTGTATATCAGCGGAAAGCTGCACTGGGACACAGTGGAACATTTCAGAGGAGAGACAAGCAGAAGATTGGACCCTCAGCTCCTTAGAGGACATCGCCCGTCCTCTTCCAAGTGTGTCTCCCCAGCGATAAGGACTAGTAACTTAGAGCTGCCCTTTTGCTGCCTAGCCGTCTTGATGGGCCTCCCTTTCCTACTTTCTCTTGGCAGATCTGGAACAATGGCCTGCCTCTTTCCCTGCTCCACAGCACCAGCATGAAGAAGTACAACTGGAAGTACACCCAGTTCTCCCAGTTCAACGCAGACGATTCCCTCCTCCTTGTCTCTGGGGTCTTCGTGGGGCCCCGGACTACTTCCTCAGGCGAGATAGCTGTCATCGATCTGGGTAAAGAACAATGTGCTTTGCTGTTCCTCCCTTGTCACCCCACAAAGTTTAAGCACGAGCTTCCGGGAAGTTGCCGTCCTTTAGCAAAGTCTGCTGGTGTCAAGGACTGGCTGGATGAGGAGGAACAGAGGGAAGTACCTGCCAGAGAACCCCCTAGGGAAGCCACAGAAGGGGGAGGCTCAGAGCTCGGGGAGTGGGGTGGTGGACTGGCCAGAGGGGGAAGGAATGGTTTGGTGCTGAAGAGGCAACAGGCTTTTGCAAGCAAGAGGAGCCAGGTGCAGAAAGCAGTTCACCCTCTGCAGAGGAAGCAAAGGCAGAGGGAGAGGCGGCAGAAGCTGCACAGGAACTGGCCGCTCTTCCTGTGCTAAGGTCCCCTCCCACTTGACTCCAGGGACATGGAGGGCGTTGCAAGTAGCAGAACAAATTATTATTATTATGTATGTATGTATGTATTATTTGTACCCCGCCCATCTGGCTGGGTTTCCCCAGCCACTCTGTGCGGCTTCCAACAAAGACCAAAAATACACTAAAATGTCACACATTAAAAACTTCCCTGAACAGGGCTGCCTTCTGATGTCTTCTGAATGTCAAGTAGTTGTTTATCTCTTTGACATCTGATGGGAGGGCGTTCCACAGGGCGGGCGCCACCACCAAGAAGGCCCTCCGCCTGGTTCCCTGTAGCACAGATTCCCCCCCACCCCCAGCATAGTTTTAAGGCTGCTTGCGAAACATCTATCTGTGAAGGAAGAGACTTAGAGTGAAGTAGAAAGCAACCGGCAACAGTTTGATAGGGTCAGTCCTACCTCCTACCTTGTTGTGAGCATGAAATGGGGAGGGGGAGAACCACGTGGCCACCTTGAGATCCTTGGAAGATAAAAGGCAGTTTTTAAATGTCATAATTTTTTTTTTTAAATCCGAAAGCCATATTAGGTTCTCCGCCTTTTCTCCTTCCAGAAAACTTTGCCCTCCTGTCCCGGGTTCGCAACAAGCCCTACGACGTGTTTGGCTGCTGGCTGACCGAGACCCACCTGATCTCTGGGAACCTGCACCGTATGGGGAACTACACCTCCTGCTCTGTGCTGTGGCTGAACAACGCCTTCCAGGTGGGCGAGGGGGGGGGCTGCCCACTAGGGCTGGACGAGATATTTGAAAACAGTTTCAAAGTCCATATCGTGATATCAGTTTCATAGTTTCTGACCTGGCAATATATATTGCCAGTCATGGTCTGTGTGTGTGTCCCCTATGCAAAAATCACAATGTGGGGAAAACTGTGAAGCCAGCCAGTGCCTCTCTGCAGCTCCATCCTTATTTCAGGCATCCTGATATATCAGTATATTGAAATGTTTAGCTGGTGATGCATCACGATGTAGAAAACCAAATATTGCCCTGCCATACTGCCCGGGTGCCGGGGCTGTTGGCTTTTGCAGGGAAAGGGAACCAGCTACCTCACCATCCCTCTGTATTCGGAATCCGAGTGCATGCTTTGATAGGCAGCAGAGAAATGCAAAAAACGAGTGGGGGAAAGGACATCGTTGAGGGGATCTGCTTGCTCTGGCAATATGAAGTGTGTTTGGGCAGGGAAAACTCAGCCTTGAGCAGGCCTGGTGGAGAGGAGGAACCCAGCTCTGAGAGCACGACTTAATTTCTATGTGTGTGTAAAGCTAAAGCGAGGGGCTGCCTGCATAGAAGCCTGTGTGGTTTACAGGTGTGTTGGGCTCCCCTTTCGTGGTTTCCCCCGTGACCAAGTAAAGCTGCCTTAAACGCCACAGCAGAAGGAGACCCACAGCACCTCCCTCCTCTTGGGCTTGCAGGGCGTCGAGTCTGAGAACATGAACGTGGTGAAGAGGCTGTTCAAGATCCAGAACCTGAACGCCAGCAAGATCCGGATGGTGACCGTGGCAGACTGCAGCCGCTACGACCCTTCTGACCTCCTCCTGAACCATGGGGAGCACTTGGAGGGCGGGACCAGGAGCCCCTGCCAAGCCCCCAACCTCTGCAGCGACAGCGAGGAGGAGGAAGAGCAGGCGGAGGAGCAGCAGCAGGCCAAGCAGAAGGCAGCGCCAGAACCGGGCTCCTCGGGGGCAGAGAACCAGGCGGGCGCTGGCAGTGGGCTGGGCCGCTTCCTGACGGACATCATGGAGGGGCGAGTCCGGCCGGTCATGACGGAGCTACAGATGGAAGCCAGAGTCGCCCAGCTCCTGGCGCAGAACAGGGCGAAGCCCCCGAGCCCAACCTGCTGTCCACGGAGGGAGCACTAAGAAATACTTGATCTTCACCACTGGCTGCCTCGCCTTCTCCCACACCAGATTGGTAAGGGGGGGGGTATTTCTGTGGGGCTCAGGCAGCCCTGTTTAGGGAAGCTTTTAATATTTGATGCATTACTGTATTTTAATATTCTGTTGGAAGCAGCCCAGAGTGACTGCGGAAACCCAGCCAGATGGGCGGGGTATAAATAATAAATTATTATTATTATTATATTATTATTATTGGGCAGTGTGAAAAACAGCCTGCAAACGACTGCTAGCTGTGATAGCTAAGGGGCACCTCAAAGTTTCAGGGCTGCCTCTCTCCTACATTGGCTCCCAGCATGTTTCCAAGCACAATTCAAAGTGTTGGTGCTGACCTTGAAAACCCTAAACAGCCTCGGCCCAGGATACCTGAAGGAGCATCTCCACCCCCCTCGTTCAGCCCAGACACTGAGGTCCAGCTCCAAGGGCCTTCTGGCGGTTCCCTCCCTGCGAGAAGTGGGTTTACAGGGAACCAGGCAGAGGGCCTTCTCGGTGGTGGCGCCCACCCTGTGGAACGCCCTCCCATCAGATGTCAAGGAAATAAACAAGTATATGACATTTAGAAGACATCTGAAGGCAGCCCTGTTTAGGGAAGGTTTTAATGTTTGATGTTTAATCATATTTTTAATATTCTGTTGGAAGCCATCCAGGGTGGCTGGGGAAACTCAGCCAGATCGGCAGAATATAAATAATAAATTATCATTATTAAATTATGTTATTATTATTAGTTTCTGGGGAGAAAAAGGGGAGGTGGTTGTCATTTTCATACTCCCCGTTTTCTGAAAGCAGGACCTTCTGGTCTGACCCCAGGCACTGAAGACCGCCAGAGACACACTCGTGTAAAAAATGGAGACCCTGGTGTCGGTTTTTTATTTTGATAACATTGAATCATAGAGTTGGATGGGACCCTGAGGGTCATCCAGTCCAACCCCCTGCAATGCAGGAATCACAGCTGAAGCATCCATAGCAGATGACCACCCAACCTCTGCTTAAAAACCTCCAAGGAAGGAGAATCCACAACCTTCTGAGGGAGACCGTTTCACTGTTGAGCAGCTCTTGGCCTCAGAAAGTTGTTCCTGATCTTCTTCCCTTTGCCCCACCCTCTGTGTTCCCCAGGGATCAAGCAGATCTCGCCTCACCAGATGACAACCGCAGGCCCTGTCCTTGGAGAGGAGAGAAACTCGGACAAGTTCTTTGATTCGCTCGACCACGTCATTGATTTCCACGGGCATATTATCGGCATGGGCCTCTCCCCTGACCACAGGTAAGGAGGCGGGCGGGGGGGGCTGCCAACCATATGGAAGGAGGAGGAAGGGGAAAGCTCGTCTGAAGGGTAGGAGGCAGCAGGGTTCTTTTGCAGGCAGGAATTCCCCATGTGTCTTCCCCGGAAGCTCCAGGTAAAGGAGGGTTGGGTGGCAGGGATGAGAAAGCCCCTTTGCCTGAGGCTGTGGGTGGATACGGACCCTTAGCTCTTGCAGAAGACCCCCCATCCCCATTTGTCTCCAGAAGGCCCAGGCAAGTTCGGTCCCCAGTGGTATCTGGGAAAGACCCTGCCTTGTTTCACACCCTGAAAATTGAATTGAATTGAATTTTATTATTATGGTCGCAGACCAGTTCCGGCTCACTTACAATATCAGGAAAATCATAAAACACAACAGGAATACATTGAATTGCAATTGGGGATAACAGAGACAATTCAGATATAGCAGCAATTAAAAATATATATTAAATCTTGATCACTAAACTATAACCTAAAATGGTCATTTAAAACCTTAATCATTTTGGTAGTACAGCTTGTTCCCTAAGTTTTATGGCAGACACACAGAATTTGGATCTCTAGATCTTTGTCCTCTACCCGGAGTTTTAGACAGACACCCTGGAGAATGTGGTCTTGGGAAGTTTAAAAGGGGAAATCCACTCATCCTTCAAACGGTTGGGAGATTTGGGACAGATCAAAGGAAGTCCTGCTTCGCACAGCGCCTAGTGAACCTGTGGAACTCCCTCCCACTGGAAGCAGGATTGCCCACCGGCCTGGTCGGCTTCAAGAGAGGATTAGGCAAATTCGTGGAAGAGGAGAGGGCTGTCAGTGGCTGCTAACCAAGATGGCTCTGCTCCGTCGGAGGCGGCCGTGCTTCTGAGGACCAGTTCCTGGAAATCCCAGGAGGGGAAAGGGCTGCTCTTGTGCTCGGATCCTGCTCGTGGGTTTCCCTTTGAGGCATCCAGTTGGCCACTGTGAGAACTGGATGCTGGGCAAGATTGGGCCCCCTTTGGCCTGATCCTGCAGGCTCTCCCTGCATTCTTAGTCATGGAAGGCGATCTACTGGGGAGCAGCTTGCCAGAAAAGACAGCCCAGTCTCCAAGGGGAGGCACCCTCCCTGTGTCAGGTGCAGTAGCCTCTTCAGAGTGACAAGAACTTTAAAGAGCCCCCCCCCCCCCGTCACCACCTGTGCTGGTCACAGTCCTGAGCTTTAGCTATTCTTGGCTGAATGGATGAAGCTGCCTTATCTCAGGGGTCCATCTAGCCTTGTACCACCTGCCCCAATTGGCAGCAGCACCTCTTCAGGATTGGGGGCAGAGAAAGGTCTTCTTCCCCCCTTAACTGCTCCCTTTCCTGGGTCATGAGGAGGCAAGTGGGGGGGGGAGCCCAGTGAACCCCCTCTTCCAGCGTGGTGTAGTGCTTAAGAGCCGTAGTCTCGTAATCTGGGGAACCGGGTTCGTGTCTCCGCTCCTCCACATGCAGCTGCTGGGTGACCTTGGGCCAGTCACGCTTCTCTGAAGTCTCTCAGCCCCACTCACCTCACAGAGGGTTTGTTGTGGGGGAGGAAGGGAAAGGAGAATGTTAGCCGCTTTGAGACTCCTCAGAGTGATAAAGCGGGATATCAAATCCAAACTCTTCTTCTTCTTTTTCCTCCCTGCCTTGCCTGCAGGTACTTGTACGTGAACAGCCGGGCCTGGCCCCAGGACTCTGTCATTTCTGACCCTTTGCACCCGCCCCCCATCGCCGAGGAGATTGACCTCCACGTGGTGGACCTCAAGACCATGACGGAGGCCCAGGGACCCTTGCGAGGCCACCGGGCGCACACTCCCAGCAACGACTTCTTCTTCATATTCTTGGATGTCAGCAGAGACTTCGTGGCCAGGTGAGCTGCAGGAGGAGCTGGTCAGAGTCCTTTGGTCTGTGGGGTGGAGTGGGGGTCCGAACAGCACTTCCCTGCTCTTTCAGCCTTTCCCTCTGCTGCCCTCCCCTCAGCCGGAATGCCCTTCCTCACCGCAGTGGCCTGCAGGCCGTTGCGAGAACCAGCAGTGGGGAAGTCCAGTCTGGCATCTGAGCCCCCGGCCTGACGGACCCGCTTTACTGAAAGTGACTGGCCTTTGGGCTGACCCTCAATGCATCTCTCTCAATGCAGGCTGCAGCTACAGAGCTCATTGCAACAGCTTTTGTGGATGCCTTAAAAAAAAGAAAGAATTGTTGGATTTAGTCCTCATAGTCACAAGATTTTGAGGCTGAGAACATCAATAACCGAAAGGGCTGTCTCTTCTCTTCTCTTGAGCAAAGGAGGGGAGGAGCTTCCTGGGACAGATACTTGTATAAATTAAATCAGGAGATTGATTGATTGATTGATTGATTGCCTTCCCTTCACCGCAAGATCCCAGAGCAGTGTACATCATTATACTGGAGTAGGAAAATAATGCCAAGATATTTCACATCTGGCAACCAGTGCCCCACTTTTGTTGGGGTGTACAGTATATGAGTAGACAAGTCTGAAAAGCCCAGGACACAATTTTTCACAGCCCTCTAGCGGCTCTGGTGCCTCATTTACCAGAAGTTAGGTACAGTCGTACCTTGGTTGACGAACACCTTGCGAGTCAAATGTTTTGGCTCCTGAATGCCGCAAACCTGGAAGTGAGTGTTTCGGTTTGCGAACTATTTTTGGAAGTTGAATGTCTGACGGGGCTTCCATGGCTTCCGATTGGCTGCAGGAGTTTCCTGAAGCCAATCAGTAGCTGCGCTTTGGTTTCCAAACGTTTTGGAAGTTGAACAGACTTCCAGAACAGTTTCCGTTTGACTTCCAAGGTACGACTGTATTTAGCATTAACTATGGAAGTGTATACTTCATTCTGAACAAGCAAAGCTTCCTGATTTATATTTTGCTCTTGGAGTCTTCGTTTGGTCAGAATTGAGTATACAGTTGCAGAACTAATGCTAAATACTTTACTTCTGGTCAGTGAGCCTACGGAGCTGCTAGAAGGCTGTGAAATATTATGTCCCAGGCTTTTTAGACTCATCTAAAAATGTACTATCTGAAACCCAAGGAGTGCATTGGTTACCAGATGTGAAAATATGGGCATTATTTTCAGCTCTCCTACCCCACTATTAAAAACAGTTTAAAAACACCTTGCAACTGTAAAAACAAGGTGGATCCTCACTGCAAGCAAGATTTACCTGCCCCTGTAGTAAAAGGCCATTTGCCAGACCTGGTACCAGCCACTTAGTAATAATACTGAGGACTAGAATCTTGATGTCTTCTGCAGCCGCTCAGTGGCGACAGCCTCTGCGGCAGAAGGCAAGTCCCCCCTTTGTTACGACCGTTCTCTCTCATATTCCTCGCAGTGGGGCGGAGGATCACCACGGCTACGTCTGGGACCGGCACTACGGGATCTGCTTGGCCAAGCTGCAGCACAGCGACGTGGTCAACTCGGTGGCCTTCAGCCCCGTGGAACAGGAACTCTTGCTGACGGCCAGCGACGACGGGGCCATCAAAGTGTGGCGCTCCCCCCGCACTGTAAGGCTCCTTCAGGCTGAGAAGCCGCGGCCACAGAAGCTCTCCTTCTCTTGGGTCACGAACCGGAGGAGGTGAACCGAACCGTCGTGGCCCTGCAACCTGCAAGGTCACCGTGTCTGCTTGCTGCGGCCGGGCTCCCTCGTGAAAAACCCTGCCGTAGACAGACAGTGGGCCCAGTGGCTTGGGGTGAGGTCAGAAGGTGGTTCTGGAGTTTTCGGGTGGGGTCCGCTGGCTAAGAGGGGAAACCCGTTCGGCTGCAGTTGCCCTGGGCTCAAAATGGTTAGGGGTGCAGATTTTGACACCCGGGGCTGCCTCAGCACAGCTATGTGCTTCCACCACTGGGGTCCGTTCAAAATGGCTTCTTCATGAGAACCAGGAAGTGACCTCTCCAGACACCGGAACGACTCTTCTTTTCTTATCTCTGTGGCTGCGATCTCCAGGATGATGCAGGCACCATTAGGCAGTTGAATTCACATGCGTATACTCCGTTTGTTTCCATCGCTCCCACCACCACCACCCTCCGCACAGCCCCGGGCACTGGCAACCCACGCTATGGCACTGCTTCTCAGTTAAGGCAACTATGGCAGAGCCCTGGGGAAATCGCAAGAGGGCACAGTATTAACATGTCGTACCAGAAACCTCCAAGCCCCTTTCTCCTGCCACCCAAACGCTGATCTCCTTCTGTTTACATGGGCAGAAACAGAAACGTTTCCACAGTGCTCCTGTTCTACAGCCGATCATGAAATAGTGCCCTGGCCGAGCCCCTCCCACTCATCTCTAGGTAGATTGAAAAACACATTTAACTTATTATTTTCCCTTGGCACCTGGACCCTATGATCTGGCAGGTTTGTGTTTTAGCCAGGAATCAGTCTGTGGGGAAGCCTCGCACTCCAGAGAGTCCAGGGTCTCTGTCTCTGCCCAGTAAGCCAATCGGAAACATGCCTTTGGCTGTTTCTGGGCTGAGCCGCCACCTGCTCCTCGGCGCTCACCCTGGTTTGAGCACCCTGGTTGCAGAAGCTCTTTGCTTTTGTCCAGAGCACTCCCAAACACCCGCTTTGCCTTTACACAGAGGCCAGGAGGGAATGAGAGAGTTGCCGAGCGGGAGGAGGGGGGTGGGCAAGCACAGTGCCAAATGGGGAGGAATTTGAGGATTAGATTTTCCTTTTTCCTAGCTGCCAAGTCCCTGCTTGCTAGTTCGGATGTATCTCTGGGTGCCCCATCTGGCTTCCTTTCACCACTTGAAAGCTTGCGTGGAAATAAAGCAGCCTCTCCACAGAGCTCTCTCCTGGGTGTACCTTTTGGGCACTTCCCCGCTTCCGGTGGCATCCGTGGAAACGTGGGGCTTCTGTTTCCAAAGTTGTAGCAAGACAGGGCTGCTGAGCCATTAGCAGAGATCAGTGGAGCCATTTAAAAGTAGATTTCAGAAGCCTGGGGGTGGGGATGGTGGGTCAAGGCAGGGAAAGGAGCTATAAAGGAAGAATAGAAATAAAGGCTGGTTGGTTGGTTCTCGTAAGTCCTCCTGAAGAACAGGGTGGGAGAGAGACTGGCAGATATTGGTCCAATACTGTATTAATTGCAGAGTCTGGCTCTCCTTCTAAGATGTGGCAAAGTATTTTCTGTGACGTTGCTAGAGGGTGCACTTTGAAAAACCCACACGAAAGATTTGCATGGATCAAAGAATTGGAAAACTGGCATAATTACAAGTAACGGCAGAGACTGTTCCTGCTGGATACTTGGATCCAGGTTTTGGGTTTTTTCTAGAGAAAGAGGTGGTGGAACTTGCTGAGCCCCCACCCAAAGTTGTTGAGCCCCAGACGCTGTGACGCCCCCCCCCCCCCCCCCAGCACACGGCTCCAAGAGCTGGCAGAACGCACCAAAGAGGTGCTGGAACTCGGTTCCGGTGAGTTCCAGCTGGAGAAAAAGCCCTGCTTGGAACCACAGAATTGTCGAGTTGGAAGGAAGCCCAAGGCTCAGCTGGTCTAACCTCCTGCCATGCAGGAATTCTGTGAAGAATATTGAATGTGGGGTGTATATGAAATATGAAAGAAGAATCTCAAACAACAACAAAAGCCCCATTCAGTTTTTTAAAAGAAGAGCTTAAGCAGTTCCAACAAGTGAAAGCATCGGCCCTCTCTGTCACAGTCCGGTTCACGGGCGATCGACGTCCCGGCAGGGGACATCAGGACCAGGGGCAAGATGGCGGGGTAGGAGCAGGAACAGGGTCCAGAAGCCAGGAAGCCAAGAGTCCAAAGGTCAGAGAGCTGGGAGTCAAGAAGCCAAGGGTCTGAGGCTCAGGAAGCAAGGAGTCACGAAGTCAGGGGTCTGAGGATCAAGATGCAAGGAACCAATGCAGCAAGGCAGGGAACATGTTGCTGTGGCAAAGAGCTGAAGGGAAATGCTGACCTTATATCCCTTCCTGGCTCTTGCCACCAGGTGCAGTGAGTTACCAAGTGGCCTCACCTGTGAGCCCACGCCTTGCCTCTTCAGAACAAACTTAGGAAGGCCCCAGTCCTGCAAAGTCCTACTGGTCACAGGGCCTGGCTCCTGCACGCACACCTGACACTCTCTGCTTTGCAGCTGGTGCTGGAGCCGGGAGGTGTAGATTGACTGCAGGTGCAGAGATCATAGAATTGTAAAGGGACCACAAGGGACCATCTAGTCCAACCCCCTGCTCAGCAGGTGCAAGGCTAGCGGGAGGGAGGGGTAGTTGCAGATGGCAAGCAGACAGGTCTCCTCTGACTCCCCTCTCTCCTGCTGACCACCTTGCCACAAACAGCAGTCTCTTGCTACCCGGAACCCAGTGGGCTCCGACCAGATGCAATTTTGGCTTTAGGTGTGATCTTTGAAACACAACCCCTGTGTCAGTTGCAAACCTAATGTAGAAATAAATATCTAGCAGTAAGAGCTGATCAGCCATGGGATGGAAAGTGGTGGACATTCCTTCCTTCATTGGAGGTTGGGTGGCTGTCTGTTGTATATGCTTGGATTGAGATTCCTGCATTTCAGGGGTTGGACCAAATGATCTTCAAGGTTTCTTCCGACTCGACAAATTCCATGATTCCAAAAAAAGGGTGCATGTTCAGTTTTAAGTGTTCAGGGTGAGAGTGAATTTCGAGCAGCAAGTACGAGAGGCTGGCATTTTAAATATTTTGAGTGTGACTAAATACAACCTATCAGCACTTAAGAATACAAAAAAACACCCACATCTTTTTTGAGCAACTTCTGCTTGTCTTGGTGGTAGTCCTTATTTGTGAATAAAAGAAGGAAATGGCGAAGTGGAAGTCTGAGATTGCAGCTTTCTGAGAATGCAGATGCACATCAGAACCGAGGGCGATTGCAGCAGTTTTTGCATCCTGAAGTTTAAAGTTAGGAGATGACCTTCTCAGAGGGTTTGTGCTATGAACCAGATTATATTGTTCACATGGCTTGTTTTCATATTATGGGAAGACTTCTCAGGATTATGTTGCCCCTCTCCTTAAACAATGATTAAGCAGCCACAAAAATCTTTACATTAGGAAACATTCCATTATCTGGAACGCATCAGAGGCTTTTATTCATTGTTTAGGAGCACGTGCTGAGGTATAAACAATTTGCAAACCGGACTTGATCCAAATGCTCCATCTCTTCTTCCAGACTCCAGAACCAAAACCAGAACCAATTTCAATCCATGTGCAAACACTGAAGGTTTGTGGCATCATTCTGTACTTTGGTGCTACGTTTGCAGTCCTTGATGCAGCCACCTTGGAGTAACCACCACGGAACTTAGTGGAACTTACTTCTGCCTCCCCACAAGGTCCAGCAATCGCTGGTGCTTTGCTGCGCTTGCCCACATAAAATAATAATAATAATTTATTTTTTATACCCCGCCCATCTGACTGGGTCTCCCCAGCCACTCTGGGTGACTTCCAACCAAATATCAAATACAGGTGTATTTGAAAAGTAAAATAGTTGTTTATTTCCTTGACATCTGCTGGGAGGGCGCCACTACCGAGAAGGCCCTCTGTCTGGTTCCCTGTAACCTCACTTCTCACAGCAAGGGAACCGCCAGAAGGGCCTCGGAGCTGGACCTCAGTTTCCGGGCAGAACGATGGGGGTGGAGATGCTCCTTCAGGTATACAGGACCAAGGATCACAGTCTCACTGTATTGTAGCGTTAGAAGGGATCTTGGGGGTCATCTAGACCAACCCCCTGCAATGCAGGAATCCTTTGCCCAAAGTGGGACTCACAACCCTGAGATTAAGAGTCTCATGCTCTGTCAGCTGAGCTACATTCCCTGACTGGGAATCTAACCTGGGCTGCAGCAGTGAGAGCACTGGATCCTAGCCACTAGGCAACCCAGAGGTGATGGTCTCTGCCTGCGGTGGAAGCAGATACTCTCGCATAATCGGTCCCCTCACCTCCCTCTCCAGGCTGGAACAGGGGGCAGGTGCTGAGATGATTTACAGCCACAAGTCAAGCGGGAATCGAGCCCCCCTTCCTGAGTTTGTGCTCACTATCAAGTCTCAGGAGATCTGGGACAGGTGTATAAAGGAAAAAACGGCTTGCAGCTGCATGAACGCTGCAAGCTCAGACTGGGTTGCAGCTGCTGCGCTGGATTGAGTCTCGCTCCCTGTTTTGCAGAGCTAACGGCCGGCCATTGGGCTTCCTGCTCCATTTCTAGGGGCTGTCGCTGGTCCCGTATTTTGGCCAGGAAGGACACCCCTCCCCAGAGAGGCTTTTGGAACTGCAGTCTGCCAGGGAAGGTCCTGAGGGAGCCCAAATACATGGAGAAGTCAAACAGGAGGAGGAGAATTACAGCAGTGCCCCTACGCTTAACCCAAATTGGCAGGAATGAGAGCGGCCAGTCCCTCACCTCTTTTTATTAATGCCCCCAGACACCCCTCACTTCATCTCCTTTCAAAAGCCAGACCAGGCAAAGCAGGAAGGGTTTTATTTTCTCACACAAATAACCACGTTGCACCTTTGCTTCCTTCCCCATCTATGCAGCCATCCCCCAGCTGCTGCCCAGCCCAGTGCCAGCTTCCTCAGAGCAACCATCCTTGCAAAACTGCAAAGAAGGATGAGCCAGGAAAATGCCAGCAAGGCAGGGCGAGGAAGTCTCAGAGGTGGCATCGCTCAGTTTCCCCGCGCTCAGCCGGGCTAAGCTTGGTCTGAAAGCCACCTCCCTGTTTTCCTTTAGAAGCAGAGTAGGGCCTTGGGCAAGGGCAAGCACAACTCCTTTCTCAGGGCAGCAACAAGCTGACTGGGGTTAGGGACTGCCAAGCTGCAGCCGTCCCCATGTTGCTAGCCCCCACCCTGGTTTCCAACCCCCCTGAACTGCCAGGTCTAGGAAGCCTGGCACTTTCACCCTTCCTTTCCAATGATTCAGCACTTGGTGACTCCTTGCCCCAGAGCATGTACAGAGTAACACCCAGATTGGCTGATCACATACCCTCCAAAGTGTCCCTATTTTCTTTTCTCTCTCTTTTGTAAAAATTCATTTTTATTCAATTTTTCCGCTTTCACAATCCAATCAAATCACATTAAATATTCCAAATTATACATATACATATCAAATAATCCAAATATTCTGCCAAATTATAAATTTTTTAATAGGACTTCCCATGCTTCAAGTTCGGAGGGCTCTGATATCTCTACTGCTTTTCATAGTCATTTCCGATGGTTCTTCTAATTCTTTCTGTTGTTAGCCTTCCTTCTTTCACGGCCTTTGAGTTGTTCCCACAAGCGAGTTGAAACAAGCAATGATATGTTTCTGTGTGGATTTTATGTCTATGATTCCCCTCTATATGTTTGCAGCATCTCAGCCGCCATCTTCACTCAGTTCCAATGAAATCAAGTCTAAGCGTCTGCTCATTATTTTTCCCAGACCGGTTGCATCAAACATTAGCCTTTCCAGGGCAGGTTTACGAAATCAAACTGGAAATACAAATATAATGACATATTAAAGCCTCCCCTCCCCCTATAGCTATTTGTAATTCTGCAGCTCAGTCTTGACTTCCATCATGGCAGATTTCCAAATTAAAAGTGCGACACAACTCCTACACAAATTCTAGGAAACCGTCCAAAGTTTTTTAACATCTCTCCAGCAGCTAATGAGATCCTGCTTCTGTCCAATATCAACAAATTGGAGAATCTTTTATCCTCTTCCAAGCAAATCAAAAATCAAAAGCCTTAATTATATAATATTGTTATTTCCACACAGTTTATAGTTTTTTAGAGCCATATTTATGTCAACAAATACAAAACTTTCCAGGCTTGCTTGGTTAATGTAAACGGTACTTCGGGGGGGTGGGTTTGCCGGATATAAGCAAAGTACAATAGTAAGAGAGGCTTAAACCCCCCCTCCTTTCCGTTCCATTCCAACATACCAACTTAGATGTTAATCCTTCTTCCACTCAGTCTTTTTTTTTTTTTTTTTTGGCACCTCAGTGGCTGGCTTAATTGGCAGAGTAATTGCTCCCTCCTCGCTCGAAGCATGTCCAAAACTTAATCCAATTTTTCATCTTAATAACTGGAACTTGATTCGCTCGCCGAGACAGCGTCGAGGAGAGCCAGACTCTCTTGGGGCTTTCCATCCACTGCCCCCAGCCCCTCCTTCCTTATGAAATTGGGGCTGGTTTGTTGGGTATCTGCGGATGAGACTGTGTCTTCCCGTACCCCGGGAAGATTTTGGGAGGCTGATTACTCCCATCTCAGCCATCTTCCGTGGCGCCTCAAGCGGAAGTCGAAGTGTCCCTATTTTCCAGGGACTGTCCCAGTTTCTGATTTGATTCCGAAATGTCCTGCTTGTCCTCAATAGGACATCCCTATTTTCATCGGAGAAATGTTGGAGGGGGTGGGAATAGGAAAACACTTCTTCTGAATCGGAACAAATGGCAGAAAATCCCATTCAGCTGTAAACCCATGGGTTTTCCGGGGGGTGGGGGCGGCAGGGCAAACAAAGGTTTGGATAAGTCCTACATCTTACATAAATCATTGGTAACCTCCAATATATGAACCTATACATCATATTATGGTGAGCATACTTCTCCCCTCCCCATTTTTTATTCTCACTGCAACCCCGTGAAGTAGACTTTGCTGGGGGAGAAAGAGGGAGAGATTCTTCAGGGAGATTCACGAGGTTTGAACTGGGGTCTCCCCAGTCTTAGCCTGGGACTCCAATCCCACACTTGGGGGCCTCATTACTGCATGTCTGGGTTGGTTGGTTGTGGGTGCTTTTTAAAGAAGATTACAGACAAGTGCCATAAGTGAAAGGTATAATCATCAGCAGTGCAGAACAAGAAGTGTGGTTCACCTGATTTACAAGCTATCCAGAAACATACATCTATAACTGAACACATCAGAGACACCGGAGTACCAAGAATAAAACGCTCTATATTGCATCATGAAAAAAAATTACACCAATTAAATGTTACTTATCCCAAATTTCTTGAGAGACTTGTGGAAGGGACAAAAGTAGATTTTCCTCTTTTTTTTCATGTATTCAAGAAAATACCACCAAACGGAGACAAAAGCGACTGCCTTTGTTTTGACTTTCAAAAAACGAATGTGCCGCTAGGTTTTTCATGTAATGCAATTGGTTCATATATTATCCACCATAATGAGGTGTTAATTTCAGACAGTGTTTTCCATCTTTGGGCAATCGACAGTCCTGCAGTAATAAGAAAGTAATTCAACAAATCTTTTGATTTTGCATTTTTATTCTCTGCTAATAGTAATAAAAATAATAATAATACCAACTTGGGCAAGAACAACATTTTCTTTGGGATCTTATTTATTTCACCAAAAACCCTCTGTCAAAACTGCTGCACCACTGTGCAGTTCCACCAAAGGTGGTGGTAGGTGCCCTTCACGCCACAATTCCTCCAGCCATCCAGAGATGCACTCGAGGACATTGCTGTGTTTGTGTTGAAGGTACTCGATTATCTCTTTAGACCAGGCTTCCTCAAACTCGGCCCTCCAGATGTTTTGAGACTACAATTCCCATCATCCCTGACCACTGGTCCTGCTAGCTAGGGATCATGGGAGTTGTAGGCCAAAAACATCTGGAGGGCTGAGTTTGAGGAAGCCTGCTTTAGACCTTCTGCATTCCCCATTCTGCCCCAGGGGCTTCAACATTCTGGGCACGTTCTTAATACAGTCCAAGGAAGCAGATCCTCCTCCACCTTATCCTATTGCTCAGCATCCTCTTCATGCTCAGGGTTGATCCAAACATCCTCTGGTCCCTCTGCTTTCCCTTGGGGAAAACCGCTCTTTAGAGCTCTGTTGGAACAAACAGCAATCTGGGTTTTCTACAGATTGATGTTTGCTCCGATCTAGAGCTAAAGAATGGGTTTTCCCTGGGAAAGGAGGGGGGCGGGGGGAAACTGCTTGGACCCATGCTTTCTTGGCATGGCACAAGTGTGGACAATCCCTCATGTAGTTTGAAGGGGTCCTGAGGGTCATCTAGTCCAACCCCCTGCAATGATAGATAGATAGATAGATGATAGATAGATAGATAGATAGATAGATAGATAGATAGATAGATAGATGATAGATAGACAGATAGATAGATAGATAGATAGATAGATATAGATAGATAGATAGATAGATAGATAGATAGATAGATAATAGATAGATAGATAGATATCTTTATTGTCATTGTCCCATGCAGAACAATGAAATTGAAAAACTACATAAAACTACATAAAAACTACATAAAACTACTACAAAACTACATAAAACATTCAAAAACCCCTAAAAACTCTAAAACCCCATTTTAAAATACACTATACTATAGAGACCAGGAATCTCAACTAAAGCATCCTGGTCAGATGGCCATCCAGCCTCAGCTTGGAGACCTCCAAGGACGGAGAGTCCACCACCTTCCACCACTTTGACTGCCTTGACATCTTGGGCTATCCATCAATGCATATACCAGCGTAACTTTCCTACTACATCAGGAAAGGATGGCATGCACTGGAGGAAGGCAGCACAAGGGGGATCTCCCACCCAAAGATGGGTCCCATCTAAAACTCTCCTTGGACCAGCTCCTCACTGGGCTTGCTCTCAAACCCGTCTCCGTAAACTGCAATGACCCGAACAGCGGCCACCTTCTTCAGAGACCGTTTGGGGAGCCAACAGCTCTCAACTTTCTCTCCTGTTCTCTGCTCTTCCCATGTGCTGTCTTCTCTTCTCCTGAGCTGCACCTTGTACTCTTTTATCACGATGCCGGCTGCAACGAAGCTGGGGCTGCCCCACGTGACCTGGAGTTGGCTGCTGAAGCAGGAACTTCTAGGCCTCAGGGCTGGTTTCCCTGGGGGGCTTGAATGGCAGGTGGTCACCACTCTGCTCACATCACTGAACGGACTGAGGCCTGTTTTGGTCTCTACAGCATATCTAAATTCATATTTTGTTTCTGGCTCCAGTCCTGTGACCCAAAACTTTTCCTGACTGCCTTTTACATATGCAAACACCCATTTTTCCTCCCCCGGAACTCTGTGCTGGACATAATATCCCGAGATCACCCCTTTCTCAGACTCTGCTGGCTTAAATGTCAGCTGGAACCGGTCCCAGGAGACAGCATCCACCAGCAGAGGGGGAGGTTTAGAGAGAAGGTCTAATTTGGTTCCTTCCAGAGACCCACTTTGGTATCGGATGATCACAGCACCTGGATCACTCTTATCGGCCTGCGAGGTCACCACAAACTGAGCCTCCCCAAGCTGAGAAAACAGAGAGTATTCTGCAAAGACCATGGCTGCCTTCTGGACTCTCTTTAATAGGTCTTTGTCCTCAAACCACGGAGCAAAGCTCTTGTCTCCTGCAGAAGTCTCTAGCTTGAGTTCGGATACTTGATCCAAGGCTGCGTTTAACTTCTCCAAGTAGGGCTCCTTCGCTTGCAATGAGGTGAACGTAAATGCAAGGACGATGTTCATTTTGTGATCGAGCACCCTCTTCACCACGTCATCCTGGGAGGATACCTTCCCCTTTGACAAGCCCAGGAAGAAGTTGACGTAATAGATCTCTCGGAATTTCAGATCCAGGAATTTGTGGAGCCACTGGCTTCTGAACGCCGACTGCTGGTGCTTCCTCACGGTGTCCCCCAAAGCACCTTCTTGCGCTGCTCTGGCACGAATAGCAGGCAAGAGCCCTGCCACCTGCTTCTGCAAAGCCCGCCTGTACTGCCAGCACAGATCTTGGAACTGCAGCATTTTCTTATGGATTTCTGGGAAGATGGTGGCAGTTGGCTCCTTCTGGAGGTCGTTGCACCTCCTGTCGACTTCCTCCAGCTGCTCCAGAGTTTCCTCGATGTCAGAGATCAGCTTAGAGCTGACCTGACGCATGAGCCTTGCAGCCTTGGACTCCAGCCTGTTCAGTGGGTACAGCCAGACCTTCACAGGCACTGCCTTCTCCCCTTGGTCACCCAGCATTTTGGGGGGGCTGGAATAGACTTTCAAGGCTTCCTCGTAGTTGGTTGGGTTGCTTTCTAGCGCAATGTCCCCATGGAAGGTACAGCTGAATTTTTCAGCCACAGCCTCTTTCTCACCTTTCAGCTTGGTCTCTGCCTCTCCTTGGCAAACCAGAGGAACTTTGGCCACCATCAAGTGGAGTTTGGCTTGAATATCTTGGACACTCTCGGAGGAAGAAGACATTTGGTCAAACACAAAGAAGGCATGGGCTCCATACAGGATGCCAACGACCACGTGGGTGCTCAGCCCTTCGCTGAAGACCTCTGGGTAAGTGATATGTTGCAGCCCCATATGGCGCATGGTCAGCTGCTCAAAATGTGTGGTGGCCGAGTACTGGAGGGTTATTCGGGCCTGGCGTGTGGACTTCCGGGCATCCAAGAGAAATTTGGCTGATCCGTCCACCTTGACCAGCCCCGCCAAGAAACTGGCCTTCAACGATCCTGAGACATTCAGTGCATGGGTTTTGTGTAAGATCAGGTCGTATTCAACGACTTGCGTTGCAGTGTTGGGCTGTGGCCGCACATCAATGTTCTCCTTCAGCACCCCTGGATCCCACAAAGTGATGCCTGCAATTGAACAGAGACGCAGCGAGAGGTCAGTGCAATGGGATGTGGAATTGCATGTGAAATATTGTATGCTCTGTTATGCGCAATCCCTTCGCCAATGTGTATGCAGACAGTTCTATTGCGGTTGCAAAAGAATACGACAATCCACATCTTCCTAGGTTTGGCTACTGGGAGACAATAAAGACTTATGCAACATAAGAACATCAGAAGAGCATCTGCTGGATCAGGCCAAAGGGGCCCATCTAGTCCAGGATCCTGTCCTCACGGTGGCTGACCAGATGCTAGATTTGGCTACGTGCTACCATCACTGATGGCAAGTGAAGTCCAATGGAGAGTGAGGGCAGTGTGATGTAAACGAGCATAAGAGTCTTGCTGGACCCTTCTAGTCCAGGATGCTGTTCTCACAGTACTGCCTCCATCTGTGATAACCGTCATGGCTAATAGCCATCCAGAGCCCTCTCCAGCTGTGTGGGTGCACAGCTCTCGTCAGCCCCAGCCAGTACAGCTGTATGATGCTGTGGGGCGGCTGGCAGTCACTGCCGGGTGAAAGGACGGAAAGAAATATAATAATAATTTATTATTTATACCCCGCCCATCTGGCTGAGTTTCCCCAGCCACTCTGGGTGGCTTCCAATCAAGTGTTAAAAAACAATACAGTGGCTTCCTGTTTCCTGCGGTGGAAAATGGCGGATTCCACACGATCGGACTTCAGCCTTTCCGATAATTCAGGGCTGATATGGGGGTAATTAGCCCTGGCAGCCTCCCCAAGGCAGGGGCGGACTGTCTCGCAGTTTGCCCCAGATTGCCGATGTGGCAGACGGCAGGAGCACTGGGTCACAGAGCAAGGGACGGACTGACACTCCTGCGATGCCACCCCATAGCCGGACGCATCTGTTTGGGGAAATATAAAGATGTGAAAAACAAACAGACACACTCTGAACTGACGAAGCTGGGGGAAAACCTGCAGAATGTACAGTCTCTGGTGCAAAAGATCAAACTTCAAAGAGATCCTCATCATGATGTTTGGAATCTGGAGGGGCTCGGTAAGTTTTTTCTTCTTCCTCTAACATTAACAATCCGTATTGCATGCCAAGCCTCATTAAGAACCTAAATTGCTCTTCAAAAAGTGAGTACAGATGGACTTTCATATATAATTGGGACTTATCTGCAGCTGCTTTTCTTCTAAGATTTGAAATGCCTGTTAAAGACGAAAACAAAAGAACAAAGAGCAAAAATGGCGTCTACCCACTATGCATTTATGGAATATCTGAAATACTTCCCTGATTAAGAGATACAGGAGCTAACTGATGGTTGGTTATAAAGACTGGAAACAATATTATATATACAACTGTTTGCAAAAAGAAGTTTTTTATTATGAGCGACAGAGAGGGCTAAATGGATGTTTGGCAGCCCCCCTCTAGGGCCCGGAGAGGGGACTGGGTGGATTCCAAAGGCCAATTGTTAACTGTCTGATATATGGCTACATTGCAAACAATCTGCTTAAGAATAAATCAACAAGGAGTTTCAGAAGGAGGTTTCTCTCTGTTTCTTTCATAACACCTGGACGGGAAAGATTAACGATTTGGGAGGTGCCAAAATAACAATTCTCAAAGAGCTGGACAGAACTCTGAATGTGGATGCAATTAAATGAAGCCGTGCGATATACGGACAATATACAATATACGGACAAATCTGCACTCCATAGGGAAAAAAAGTATCTGTTTTCTGACATGAATGAGGATCGCAGAACCAGAGTCAAAACATGGAGGAAAAGATCGGATATGGAATTATGAAAAACATTGATGATGATGAGAGGCAGGACTATGATGTTGAAAGCGCTTCGGAATTCAGACCGTGGGAAGCCAAAACAAAAATTATTACAATTTGGAAGACAATTGGACTTTTTTTATTTTAGTTTTTTATTTTCTTTGGATTTGATTTGATATGTTAATTAGATGTTTTAATTGGAAAATTAATAAACGCTTTAAAAAAAAGTGTTAAAAACAATACAGCATTAAATATTCAAAACTTCCCTAAACAGGGCTGCCTTCAGATGTCTTTTAAAGAGAAGATAGCTGCTTATTTCCTTCACATCTGAAGGGAGGGCGTTCCACAGGGCAGGTGCCACTACCGAGAAGGCCCTCTGCCTGGTTCCCTGTAACCTCACTTCTCGCAGTGAGGGAACTGCCAGAAGGCCCTCAGTGTCCGGGCTGAACAATGGGGGTGGAGACATTCCTTCAGGTATACTGGACCGAGGCCGTTTAGGGCTTTAAAGGTCAGCACCAACACTTTGAATTGTGCTCGGAAACGTACTGGGAGCCAATGCAGATCTCTCAGGACCAGTGTTATGTGGTCCCGGCGGCAAAATCAGTGACTGCACCCCTGATCTCTTCCCTGCCTTCCTGCACTTGAGGCTGAAAAGCAGAGGCTTCTGTTGAGGAGGAGGAAGAAAACTTTAGAGGAAGTGGAGAACAGGTTTGTGTCCGTTTGCATTTCTTGGTACAGAAAGTATTGATCTGATGTGTAGAGATCTTTCCTATTCTAATTAGTTCAAGGGGATATGGGAAGTTTCTCTGTGTGAAAGAAACAAGCAGAAGGTTCATGATGTTTGGGTTATTCCTTCAGAGAAGCAGTCCTGTTATCTCTTTCTGTCACGGTCATGCTGACTATACAGTGGTACCTCAGGTTAAGAACTTAATTCGTTCTGGAGGTCCATTCTTAACCTGAAACTGTTCTTAACCTGAGGTACCGGTTTAGCTAATGGGGCCTCCCGCTGCCGCCGCTGGCGATTTCTGTTCTCATCCTGAAGCAAAGTTCTTACCCCAAGTTACTATTTCTGGGTTAGCGGAGTCTGTAACCTGAAGCATCTGTAATCTGAAGCGTCTGTTACCCGAGGTACCACTGTAATCATAAGGCCAGAAGGAGCGTGGGTTTCACTCTTTTCTAGCTCTTCCTTCTGGTGTGGTGTTCTGTATGTAGTGTTAAGTTTTAATCTTATTATGTTATTGTAAGTTTAAGTTAAGTCTGCTGCAACTGGACTTCTTACGGGCAGTGCCAATCCTGAATGGATTTGTGACCATTTCGCTCAGTTGCCTTCAGTAACAGTAAAGGTCTGCTGGATGAAGTATTCATCACCTCTGGTCTATTTTGGGGGAATCCTGCAACGTGTTTAAGTTTTTACTCTGCTAATTATACATTGGAGTTCTGATCCGGATCAATAAGAGTAGAATTCCATGACAGTTTTGGCGCCTTCCAGAAAGTGGCATCACCACAACATCACAAACTGGAGCTGAAATGTTGATGGCCAAATAAAATCCCAAGACTCTCCGGCCACCACCTTTGAGGCCTTCTTAGAGGGTTTGAGAGGAAAGAGGGTTGCCACCCCCCACCACTACCCAGCCCCCAAAATGGCTCATGGTGGTTTGCCAGAAAATCTCCTTTTCTCTGGGCACCGGGAGAGGCAGAGGGATCGTCCATTTACCTGGGATGAGGTTGTCCCTTCGGCAGTCGTAGAGCATCCCCAGCTGGAACGGGCGGCCGAGAGCTGCCATCTCAATCACCTGCTCTTCTTCAGCCATTGCGTCACCCGGGTTGCTGCCTGGGCCCAGGGGTGGCTTTTCTGCAAGAGATGGGACAGGAAAAGAACGGCAGGAGGTGAAAGTTCTAAAGAAGCACAAGAGGAAAAGATGGAGAAACCGAGTCCTCCTGGGAAGACTACCTAGCCATTCCTCTGACTCTTTCCCTCCATTACGTTGACCAAAAGTGGTTGAGGATTTTCCAGCTTCCAAGATTCACCTGGCTTTGCCCCTGATAGATCTGTGCTTTGTGGGACTTCCGGGTTGGCGCCTCCAGGCAATGGCAGAGTTCCTCCGATCGGGAGGAATTTGCTCCGGGGATATTAGGGTCTGACCGCCACGGCGAAGGCGGAGACCCACTGAAATCACAGACGGGAGAAGCCTGTGAACTTGGGATTCGGCTGGCACCCTTTGCGCCTCCCCTACTCGCGGGGAAACCCTGATTTGGGAATCCGGAGCGAATTGGGGTGAGTGGCGCGGTGCTTCAAATTGACTGCTTCTTTCACAGAGTGAAGCCGCATCACTGTTGCCGGAGAGCGCTGACTTTTTCCTGTGGACAATTGGATTTTAAACAACTATCCGTGAGTAGAACGGAAAATTAGATCCTTAAATTCATTAATTTGGCATCGAAATGGGAAGGTTCTAAACAGGAAGTCCGCCTTCCTTTTTTGTAAACAGATTGAAGCAAAGAAGTTGCAAGTTAAAGCCTTGGAAAGTTTATTTTTGTAAAGGATTAAATCTCCATCGGTTAAAACTATTAAACCCCGCTTGGAAGCAGGAGAAGAGGGGGGAAATTTTGGACCTAGTGAGCCTGCAGGAGAGAGTGAAAAACCAAATTACCACTGCTCCGAACCTGGAAACGGGCTGCCAGAAAGAGTGACGTTTTTTGACAGCTAGCAATAAGAGAAATATATTGTTTCCATTGTACTCATCTGCGTTTAAAAAGTAGGAAAAGAAACTATCTTTATAGTTTAAACTGTGTTTGAAAGGATTGATACAAGTGGAGACTGTTTCCCTCTAGAGGGAGTTTTGAAACTGTTACAAGAGTGGAGCTGGGGTTTTCCAGTTGCAAGATAAGAACTGTGTGAAATAGAGATTGACCTTGGACTTTAAGAATGTTGACAGAAGGAGCCTTAGTGACTGTATTATGTAAGATAAGCTATTCGTTGGAACAGCTCCACAAGAAGACGGACGCTATGAATACCAAACTTGAGAACTTGGGACAAAAAGTGACTAATTTGGAACAAAAAGTGACCATTAATACAGAAATTGTTCAGGATTTGACACAGGAACCTACCTTGACAGGACAAACTGGGGAGAAGACGAAGGAGAATGTTGGTGTTGTTAAACCTAAAATAATACAAGTGGAAGCCCCAGTTTTACAGAGGCAAACTGAGGACTATAAGTGGAGGCCTTTTATGAATGAATATAGAAAAAGTCAGAATTTGAAGATTGGAGCCCTGTTTGGATTGAAGAAGGAAGGTTGGATAGACTCTTTCATGCAGAGATTTACTGACCTTTGGGTCCTGAATCTGGGTCAGGAGGTGATTGGAGTTGTGGGGGCCTTTGGATCTGGAGGAGCCTTGAAACATGATTTGAGATATTGTATGGACACTGGTTTTTGCTGTGGAGAGTTGGTTGGTCTGTCGAGAGGGAATGGGGGCATGGTTGGGTCGGGGCCCCCCCAAGACCTGCGCTTCAGCACCCTCAGCATTAAAGAATATGAAGAAAAACTGCAGAAGGGACTTGGAAAAGATTTAAGAGCCTCGGACAGAAGATCTCCAGGTTGATGAACTATATGGAATGGACGGAAATGACTGGCAGAATCCGAGACCAGGGAGAAGAGATGGTGGTAGAAGATTGGGAAAGTTTAAAGTTTATATATAGAAATATTGTAAATTTAATGAGTGTTAGAAAATTGTTGGAATGAAATTTTATGGCTTTAGCAGAAATTTTATAAGGATTAGGTATAAATAAGTATTTCAGTATTAATGGAAAATAAGGTACAAAATATGTTAAGATATTCATGATGATAAAAATAGAGAAAGATGGAAAGGAATTGCTGAAACAAGTAATAGAAGTGGAATACAAAAAGGGAGGTGAGAGGAGGTCGATGAAATAAGGGAATGAAAGATAGAGTAATGAAATGGTATGATATATGTTTTTAAATTGTTGTTCTTTTGCTTTGTTTAGTTTAGTGTGTTAAGGTTATGTTTTGTATTGTGTATTGTATTGTATTGTATAATAATAATAATAATAATAATAATAATAATAATAATAATAAAAATAATAATAATTTATTATTTGTACCCCACCCATCTGGCTGGGTTTCCCCAGCCACTCTGGGCGGCTTCCATAGAAACAAAAAATACAGTAAAATATCACAGATTAAAAGCTTCCCTGAACAGGGCTGCCTTAAGATGTTTTCTAAATGTCAGGTAGTTATTTATCTTTTGCGCCCAAAATCCCCCCCCCCCCCGCCTGCCCCAGGGAAAGGAACCTTTTTATACTCCTCATGATGAACTTTCCTCACAAATCTTATTTATTTGACTGGCCAAAGGCTCTTCCGATGCTGGAGGGAAACATTTTGAACCTGCTGTTCTGGTGGCCTCAGGAAAAAGAGCAAGAAAATCCTAGCTGTTTCTGAGGGGAAAGCGTCTAAAATTCTCCTCAGAACCAGTCCTCACACTGCTTAGGGCAATTCACTCCTCTTGCTTCTGGAGGGGAAAGAAACTTGCACAGTCAGCTTCTAGGTTAACAATATTTGCTCTGTGATTTCTGCCCATCCTGCAGCCTTTGCACAAAACTCAAGAGAACCACTCCTTAACTCCTCTTGGCTCCGGTCGCCATTTCACGCATCAGAACTGTGGGGCTGAATTGATGCTGCACCAAAATGGCTGCCCTGTCGGGGAAGGCTTTTCCAGAGGGGCTTCCACAGAGGAGTCAGGAACCCCCCAAGCCCACTCCCCAAAGTGGCCCTTCCTGGCAAGCGGAGGGAGGCTGTTTCCCCCACCATGCCGGCCTCACAAAATGGAGCCTGGGGGCGCATTGCCTGTCGTGTGGCCCCAGGCTGAGGGGAGAGAAGAGGAGGCTGAGGGGATGCTCCCGCCTGGCCATGGCCTTACGAAGAACAGTGGCAGGATTTGGCCTGCAGAGCAGTGCCATAAGAATGGTGGGGAGGGCAGAGGGGACCCTCCGGGGGGGGGATGCCCCCCACCGCTCACTCCACCCTGAACTCTGCTGACTTGGACTTGGGCACGATGCCCATCACAAGGTGGATATTGCGGTTCTAACGGGGGTCGCCCCCCATTTCCTGCCTGCACCCCTCTCCCATTGTACAGGCTCCCGAGACGGAGTCGGCACAGGAGAATATGGGGCAACCAAGCCCCGTATCTCCCCCTTAAATAGGTTTGTGAGCTGTGGTGGATCCTCAGATCCGCCCTTGGCTTTCCTCTGACTCCAGGATGATCTGGCATTATTAGATATATAATAGATATTTAAAAATCTGTTGGAGGTCTGGCTGTGTCAGAGCATTGTGTGGGGCTCTTCTCTCCCATTCGTGACTAACTCTGCCTTCCCTCAGGGGACATGGGGGGGGCATTACTGTGCCCCTCAATATAGGAGGAGAAAGAACGCTAAAAAATATCCAAATTCATTTCCTCAATTCAGAAATAATAACCGTAGGCATATAGGTTTTGAACACACCTTCAAAAAGTCTAATTATTTTTGCAGGATTTTCCTCAAAAGGATTTTGATTTTTCCAATTGCAAATATCGGAGCTTGTAAAAGGGACATGTTGAATGGTAAAGGTCCTTGGGGGTCTAACGCCCTGACCATTTGGCTGTTCCAAAGGATCATGCACTTGCCGGAGAGGGGCCACCACAGTGGGTTTGGACAAAGCCTTAGATTTAAGTGTCTCTACAGGTTTTGTTGCCCTGTCCCACGCTGTTCTCAAAACCTTTTGCTTTTTTCTCCAATTCTCATCCTGGCACTGGGCTGCTTCTAGAACCAAGAAGCCACATCCAGCTCTGTTTTAAACAGTTCTACATACTGGAACACTCTGTCAAACTGCTTACTAGTCCATCTTATCTCTTTATCTAGAGTTTTTCTGAAATCTTCATCATCATCACCACCTTTCTCTTCACCTTCCTTGCTTGCATCACATGGGGGTTGGGGAGGGGCAGAGGGGGGAATCTTCTCATTTGGGTCCTCAGTCTGGGCTTTGGGCGGAGAAGCAGCCCTATTTGCTCCCAGATTTGGTTGCCTTGGCGCAGTTGCTGCATATGGTGGTGGGGGGGTAATTATCTCCTCTTCCAGGACTGGCAAAACTGGTGGCTTCTTAACTTGTAATTGTACTGAACACAGTTTGACTTGGGCAGTCACAATTCTATTTTTCCGAAGCCATGAGGGATTTTGATCCACATTGGCTTTCCAGATAGAAATATAGGGAATCTGATCTGTGTGGGCCTTGAAAATGTTACTCCATAAAATGTTGACCAAGTTTGGATCAAAGGATCCTCCAGGAGCCCATTCTGGTAAATACGAAGGCCAGTCAACTTCACATAAATGTTGGAGTCTGCCTTTTTTTCTTCTGCTTTCGTGGCACTTTTCCAGTTTTCCAGAAAGCTCTGTAGTGGTGTCTCAAGAATTGTTTTACTGCTTTTATTTCCCATGACTCTGGGATCCTGGGGACACTGGGACACTCAGCCCTCCTAACGTTATTTTTTTCCACTCAGTCACAGGCCAGACGTTGCTTTCAACGTATCGCACACTCAAAACATTCGCTGGAGTGTCCCCACACGCACATTCAGAAACCCATGCACCTCCCCCAATCCCCTTTTTACCAACACCAAAACCACAACCGGCAGCGCTTAGACTTTGACCGGTGCCCAGCAGCACCCTTTTTGCTGCTTTTCTGGGCAAAACCAAAACCAGTGGCACCTTTTACTGCCCTACTGGTGGAGCTGATCAAACTCTCTTTGCTCCCAAGCCTACCTTGTTCCTCGAGGTACCTTCTTTCTGCACGGCCGTTGCTCTTTCTCTCCGTCACTTGTCGCGTGTCCACTCAGGAACGGGTGCCCAGTCCCTCCCACGAAGTTGGCAGGATGCGCGCTGGAACTGTTGACCCGGGATCCTGAGCTGCTCGCCTTGCAGTGACGCCCTGGACCTTTTTGTCCCTCAATCTCGGGGAACGTGCTTTTTCCCGGCCCGATGCGCCAGAAATATGAAGCCTTTTTAATTCATTGGTAGGAATAATTGTTGCACCCGAGCAGAGACAAAAGGAACCAAACGACACCAAGGGGTTAATCCAGAGAAAGAGCGTTTTATTCTGCCATGGGGGCGGGGGCAGAGGCACCTGTGTGATTCAGTTTACAAAAGACAGGCTGCGCCGAAAACATTTTACAAGCAGCTTTTATCCTTTTTTCAAACCCCTCACAGATTCTTACATAGAAATGTTGCTTTTCGTTCTCTGGCTCTGCTCCCGGAAGTATGTTGCAAGTCAATGTACCAGGACAAGGTTATCTTGGATCTGGGAAGCAAAAAGCTTCACTGTTCTCAGCTGTAGGTTTGCTACAGCGTTTTTGTTACAGAGAGGACTGCTTAGCTCGTGCTTTTTGTCTTAGAGGAATATGCAGTTTTAAAATGCGTACGCCGAGGCCTGGCTGGGGGGGGGGGGATTCACAAACAGTTTTTAGGGCTTTCTGGGGTAACCCTAACTGTACCCCTTCACTGAGGGGCCTAGCAGGTCCGGTTTCAGCCTTTCCTTTCCTGAAGCAAATTCTCTTTCCATGGGAGAAATGTTGGAGGAGAGGCCAAGAGTCCCCAGTGAGCGATGTATTTTCTTCAAGGCCTGATGCCTCGTGAAGTGATAAGAGAAGGCCTTGCAAGGGATTCTGTTAGGGGTTGATTTAAAACCAGGTCCCCCAGTCTGGCCTCCCAGTGGCTTCTTGTGGTAAAAAAATGGCTGAATGAAATTTGGGGCCTGTATAAGGGAGTCCTTGGAGCACCCCATAATCGCCTGACCGTGGCTCCCATAGGTTCAGGTTGGGGGTCACAAGCAAGAGACTCCAGCCAGGAGACTGAAGCAAAACAGGAGGCCTGATCTTTATTGTTGCAACAAGACTTCAAACTACCACATGGAAGAAGCAGAGGGAAGCCCCAAACAAAGGATGGCTCCACTTTTTTTTATAAATTTCCCAGAGTTTCCCATAAAACATCATACATTTGTCATTGTAGCACCCTGCTTGTGGTTAACGCTTAGCTGGAATGAAATATTCAACGCAGCAATAGAGAAATTAAAATAATAATTTATTTGTCAGACAAATAAATGAGAGACACAGTGGTATATGGATACCAAAGCTCTGCCTACTCCAGCCCTGATGGCCAGCACTTATATTTCCTCAGCCCAGCCCCCTTGCTCCTCCTTTGGCTGCCTCTGTCCAATCAGCCTGGTTGAAATTCCTATTGGTTGTTTGCTAGAACCAATCATAAAAGATACACCCATTTCCTATTACCTTTTATGGGAGACAAAGAGCTATATTTCCTTCTATCCATAAATGGCAGACAAGTAGCCATATATCTTACATTTACCTCGACCAGGCACCTCAATTACCAGATAACCTTTGGCCCCTGTTGCCCTATTCACTGCAAACCAGATGGCTAAAGCAGATGGTGCATGGTGTTTAAGTTTTTATCTTAAAGAGATCTTGAGTTCACCTTCTCACACACCATAATAAGAATCTAACATAAGAATCTAACATTTCTTACTTTCTAAATCCTTTGCATAATTACATTTAAGCCAATATATTTCATACATAACATAGATAGATTTTTAGAAGGAAAGGCCTTTTCAAATTAAAAGGAACTTAGTAAAAGCTAAGTTCTCTAAGTTCTCTAAATTCTCTGAAGCTTCAGAGCAGCTTCAGAGAGAAGCCTTTTCCCCTAACCAGCTGCTGTTTCTAAAAGCAACCTCTTCAATTTACCCTTTAACCTTATGAAAATATGGCTCGAGTCTTCTGTTAAACAATAAATTTCACTATTTACCAGCTCTTAATTGTGTTTTTGCAGCTTGATTGTATTCTGTAATTTGTATGGTCAGTGTGACCTTTTGCTCCCAGCCTCTAATTTCCTTTTACAACCCTCAAATACTTTTACAACCCTGAAATACAATGGGGCCTTTGAACAGGAAGATAAACAGCTGCCAGAGTATTCAGCTGGTCTCTCCCTGGCATGAGAGATATAAATATTTACAAATATATTTTTTAAGCTCAAAGCAGATCTTGATTAGATGCCTCATCATGACTATGTCCTAAATTGGGAGGGGTCTTCTGGCAGAAACCTGAGTACCAGGCTTGCCCTGTCCCTCACCTGACCTTCACCTTCCAATCTTTTGGTGAAACAAAAGTATTTACATTTTCTGTTTTCCCAGCCAAGTTAAGCACACCCTTTGTCTTGAAGGAGACCCCAATCCTCTGAGGTTGGGTTTGCAATCGTTCTTGGAATGACTACCAGGATGCCAGAAATTATCACCCAGGCAGTGGGGCCTGCTGGGTACGTGGTCTCACGTTTCAGGAATTATGGCTGCCCCTACCCATGGTCCCAAGATTCTCCTCTGATAGCCATTTTCCTTCTGAGTAGAACAACATTGGAATGGTGTAAATGTGTCACTGGAGTGATTTTATATGAATTTCTAAAGTTTTCCCATTGAAGCAGTACATAGAGACATTTCCTGTATCAGGGAATTGCTACATTTGGTAGGTCTCTCGTCCCTCTTCCAAGTACACTTCCACACTTTCTAGGCAGAGGACCGAGCCGTTATTCATTTTGCTTTGCTGCTTTATCTGGGAAAACCTTAAAGGTTAAAGGTAAAGGTAAAGGTAGCCCTGCCCGTACGGGCCAGTCGTGACCAACTCTAGGGTTGCCCGCTCATCTCGCTTAAGAGGCCGGGAGCCGGCGCTGTCCGAAGACACTTCCGGGTCACGTGGCCAGCGTGACAAGGCTGCACTGGCGAGCCAGCACCAGCACAGCGCATGGAAACGCTGTTTACCTTCCCTATTTCTCTACTTGCACTTAGGGGTGCTTTTGAACTGCTAGGCGGGCAGGAGCTGGGACCGAACAGCGGGAGCTCACCCCGCCGCGGGGATTCGAACCGCCGACCTTACAATCAGCAAGTCCTAGGCACTGAGGTTTTACCCACAGCGCCACCCGCGTCCCTAGCACCACAACAAGGGCAATCGTATTAAAGGCACATATTACATTGCGGGACTGACACGTAGTGGATATTTTAAATGTTATGTTCTTAAGGTCCCTCCAGACATTTCTGTTGCTCTGAACTGTAGGATGAAGCCTGTGTCAGCTCTGGAGAAAGAAGCAGGTTTCCATGAAATGCTGATCTGGAGGACCGGTTCCTGGAACCTCTCAATTTTCTTCCTCATCTGAGCAGATTTTGCAAAGGTATTTATTTTCATTATTGTACAAGGCACACTGGAAAGGGGATGTGGCCTCTGCGACTGAGTTATTCTGAATCTGAATCTGAAAGGGGTGGTGATGGTCACAGGCGTTCAGAGGGTCTAACATGGAGCAAGGGTCTGAAAGAGGAAGTCGTCCTTCTTCCCAACTGTAAATGCAGCGTCTCCTTTTGCAATGGTTAGGATTGTCCGTTCACGTGGAGTATCACAGGAGTATCTGTGGAGGGATGAATGCCTGTGCCTAGGAGGAGTGTTCCTGGTTTCCCTAAATGTGGCAGTTGTGAGACTATTCTGAACAAAGTCCTTGGACACAAGGAATGCTTCCAGATGTCCGCCAGTCACATATTTTCTTCAGCAGTGGCAGCGCATGAGGTGGGGCGGGAGCAGAAGTGCTGTCCTCCAGGCAAGGTGGGGAGCAAGGTGGTGGCTTGCCAGTGCCACTTAACCCCGCCCTAACCTGTGCACGGTGCCCACAGCCAGAATGGCACAGTTGATGCTCCCCACCCCATCACCCCATCACCCCTGCCATGCCACTGTACAGTTTGGGGGTAAGATTTCTGAGTGAGTTCTGGCTGTTTAATTCTCAAGATATTTAGAGTGCACTGGACTAGATTTATTTTAAATTGGTTTCTGACCCAGACTTGGCATGGTCAGATATGGTCACTCTGCTGGTTGGCTAAGGCTTGGAGGAGGACTATGATGGTCTTAGTTCTCCTGGACCTTTCAGTAGCTTCTGAACAGGCTGCCTGGGGTGGGACTCCAGGGGCAGTGTGTTTGAATGCTTCCACTATATAAATATGAACTCAAATATTGCAAAATGCCGTAGCATTCCACCAAAGAAACCTAAGCTCTATGTGTAGGCAGTAGTGCACCCCTGGAACTTCACACTGCTCAGATAAGTGGAGTCAATGTAAGATGGCGGGGTCACGAAAAATGTATGGCAGCCCTAAGCAATTGGCACCCTAATCCATGGGGTCACGGGGCCACCCAAAACCCGACGTCATTCGATTCACTCCAAAGCAGTACAAGACGTTGACAAAAGGTCTGCGATAGCTTTTCACAGCAAAAACCCCATGCTTTGCAACGCCCTAAAAGTGGAGCAATCAGCACCATAAGTCGGGTGTGTGTGTGTCACGAGGTTGCTGAAAACCCGACATCATCCAATTCACTCTGAAGTGGAGCCAAACACCAACGAAAGGTCTGCAGCAGTGTTTTGTGGCGAACACCCCGTGTTTTGAGGTGCCCCACAAACAGAGCACTCGGCCTGTGGCAGAGTGGGCATTACTCTTTTTGTGGGGTGTTGCAAACCATGGGGTTTCGCTGCAAAACGTTTACAAAGTTTGGCACCGGTTTGGATTGAATCAGAGAACATTGGTTTTTTTGTGACCTTTTGACCAGCCCCCCCCCCCTTTGAGGGACTATTGCTCTGTTGGTGGGGTGCTACAAAATGCAGGGGTTTTGCTGCAAGACATTGCAAAACGTTTGCCAAAGTTTGGCGCCGGTTTAGAGTGAATTAGACAATGTTTGGTTTTTGGTGAGCTTTTGACTCCCAGCTTAGAGTGTGTATCACTCTGTTTGTGGGGCGTTGCAAACCACAGGATTTTCACTGCAAACTGTTTGCCAAAGTTTGACACTTGTTTGGAGTGAATTGGACAATGTTGCATTTGGGGACATTAACTACAACCCCAGGTTTCCTATATCAATTACAGTGGTACCTCAGGTTACATACGCTTCAGGTTACATACGCTTCAGGTTACAGACTCCGCTAACCCAGAAATAGTGCATCAAGTTAAGAACTTTGCTTCAGAATGAGAACAGAAATTGTGCTCCAGCGGTGCAGCGGCAGCAGGAGGCCCCATTAGCTAAAGTGGTGCTTCAGGTTAAGAACAGTTTCAGGTTAAGAACGGACCTCCGGAACGAATTAAGTACTTAACCCAAGGTAACACTGTACTCTGTGGGGCACTGCAAAATGTTGCAAAACGACTGTAAAACCTTGGCACTGGTTTAGAGGGGATCCCAGATTTTTGAGTTCAACTGGTTTAGAGGGGATCCCAGATTTTTGAGTTCATAGCTGAGCCATTGCCATGATTAAACAATTTAAACGGCAGGTTTGCAAGATAAGAACTGGAGTATTGCTTGTTTATAATATGTGTGTTCTGTATGTGTGTGTCAAGAGGATAACATTCATGTTTACATCACATTAATACACAAAAAGGACATTGTGGCATACAATGAGCTATGAAAATGAAGTCCTGTTTATACTGAAAATGAAATACCTGCACCAAATGAAGGAAATGGTGAAGCTGACATACAAAGCACTTTGTATTGTTACAAAAGTTGGGTGCCACCCCCACTCTCTGCAAGATTCCAGGGCTTCCTAGCACTCACTCTGGGTCTGTGTTCCTTTGGAGAATTGAGACACGGCAGAGACTGTCGTAGCTTTAAAAATATGCTTTATTCCCCTATTTACACCTTCAGTTTGCATGGAGGGAGTCCAGATCTTACATCACGGTCATTTCAAGAGGGGCTTGTCCCTCAGAGCAGTGCAGCCCTGGAGTCCCAGGCATCTCTCCCAGCCAGCCTGCAGCCAGCCTGCCCAAGATGGAGCCCAGTCTTTTTTCTCCCCCTTCTTCTTCCCAGCACCCCTTGGTAAAAACTCTCTCTTCCTGTCACTTCGAACCCACACTCCATCACCATGACAACCTCTGTCTGCTCAGACCCAGGCTCTCAGATGGGTCATCAACTCCTTTTGTCATGTTAATGCCTTTGCTCATTAACAGCTCTAGCTTCCAATCCAGGGGCTAGAATCTCACCCAATACTCTCCATACAATGGTTTGGAAGAGGGGTGGTGAAGTCTTAAAAGTCCCAGTTCAGTCCCACTGCCTTCACTCTTTTGCAAGTTCATTGTTACATGTTTTAAAAAAAGAAAAAGAGTTTGGTGGCTTGTTCGGCTTGTTTTATCCTTCAGTACCTTGCCCAGTCCCTAGAGAGATAAAAAGAGAGTTTATATATTGATGTTTTCCATCATTTCACAGTCAATCTCTACCCTATCTTTACTTGCCTTCAATTTACTCTTCAAAATACTTAACACAGTATTTTGGCATCTTCCCCCCATCCTCTCCCAATAAATCAAATCCCATACATGTATTTTTAAAAGTTTGTTTGCTGACACAAACACCCCTGGAGCCAACTTTCTAACCTTTGGCAGCAACAATCCCCTCTTGAGGGGCTAACTGGTGAAAAGAGCAAAGAGAGAGAAACAGAAAGTAGCTACAGTATTTGGTTTCTCAATGCAAGTAAATGGGAGTACCAAAGATTCAAATTTCTGAATCACAGAATCATAGAATCTTGATTCAGAGGGTCAAAACAATTTGGTTCTCAATCAATTCAGTCCAAATTGTGGCCTGATCTGAACTGCCAAATTGGGTGTTGAACTGGATTTGGGGTGGGGTGGAGCTTGAACAGCCCTAAACACTGATTGAGAAGCATTTTATTTACAGCAACAGAAAAATGGAGAACCTGTTGCAGTATTTGTTAAAAAGGGTTTCACAATCCTCCATGTGCACACCCACAGCATGATGTGAATAACACTCAAGAGGACCTGAACTCACTGCTGATAGCCAACAGTCCGTCTGCAACAATATACAACAACAACAACAATAATAATTTTTATTTATACCCCACCCTCCCCAGCCAAGGCCGGGCTCAGAGCGGCTTACAAGCAATAATAAAAACAAGTTGAATGATTACAACTTAAAAACAAAATTAAAATACAGCATTAAAATATTGAAACATTAAAATATTAAAATGCAGCCTCATCGCAGGAAGAGAAGGAAAAGACAAAGAAAGAGAGGGAGGGAATCAAATTGGCTCCAAGCCAAAGGCCAGGCGGAACAACTCTGTCTTACAGGCCCTGCGGAAAGAAATCAGATCCTGCAGGGCCCTGGTCTCGTGAGGCAGAGCGTTCCACCAGGCCGGAGCCAGTGTTGAAAAAGCCCTGGCTCTGGTTGAAGCCAATCTAACTTCCTTAGGGCCCGGGACCACTAGGGTGTTGCTATTTACAGACCTTGAGGCTCTCCGTGGGGTGTACCGGGAGAGGCGGTCCCGTAGGTACGAGGGTCCCAGGCCGTGAAGGGCTTTAAAGGTCAAAAGCAGCACCTTAAATATGACCCTGTATACTGGGAGCCAGTGCAGCTTGAAAAGCACTGGGTGAATATGCTCCCATGGCAGAGACCCCGTGAGGAGCCTCGCTGCAGCATTCTGCACCCGCTGGAGTTTCTGGGTCAGCTTCAAGGGCAGCCCCGCGTAGAGCGAATTACAGTAGTGAAGCCTGGAGATGACCGTCGCATGGATCACTGTGGCCAGGTCGGGGCGGGAAAGGTAAGGGACCAACTGCTTGATGCGGCGAAGGTGGAAAAATGTCGCCTTGGCTGTTGCTGTAACTTGCGCCTCCATGGAAAGGGAGGCGTCAAGGATTACACCCAAACTCTTAACGGAAGGCAATGGCACTAATTGGGCCCCGGCAAGAGAAGGGAGTTGGTTCCTCATCCCCATGCCATCCCGACCCAGCCACAGGACCTCTGTCTTCGAAGGATTTAGTTTCAATCGGCTCCCACGAAACCATCCAGCCACAGCTTCCAAGCATCTGGTCAGTGTGTTCGGGGCCGAGTCGGTGTGGCCATCCATCAGCAGATAGAGCTGAGTGTCATCAGCATATTGGTTTTAAAATTAATATTTTAACGTATAAAAAAATTGTCCAGTAGCACCTTAGAGACCAACTAAGTTTGTTCTTGGTATAAGGTTTCATGTGCATGCATACTTCTTCAGATACACTGAAACAGAAGTCATCAGACTATTATATATAGTGGGAGGGTGGGGTGGGGTTTTTCTCAGGAGGGTAGTAGGAGATGGGTGATTGACTCAATGGGTATGGTAAACCTGTTAACGATTGCAATTAGTCCTACAGGAAAAAGCAATGGATAGTATGCAGATGATTAGCATATATAATGAGACAGGAATCCAATACAGTGGTACCTTGGTTTGCAACCGCTTTGGATTACAACCATGTCAAACCTGGAAGTGTGTGTCTCTTTTTTGGATTACAACCAATTTTTTTTGGATTACAACCAATTTTGGGGGGAAGGCCCCATTGGCGAAAGTGTGCCTTGGGTTACAACCTGTTTTTATTTACAACCGGACCTCTGGAACAAATTATGGTTGTAAACAGTGCAGTGCTCAGTTTAGTGATACTGAAAACTATGGAGAGACCTGGTCTTAATAGAGATATTGGATTCCTGTCTCATGCATACTATCCCTTGCTTTTTGTGTGTGCATGCACATGAAAGCTTATAGCAAGAACAAACTTAGTTGGTCTCTAAGGCACTACTGCACAATTTAAATTTTTTTATATGTTTCAACTGCATCAGACCAACACGGCTACCTACCTGAATCTAGAACCATTAATATTTTATTTATACCTGTCCCGGTGCAATGTGCATCAAAAGCAAACAAACTTCCTAAATCTGGCCTTCAGGGCAGAATGCCTTTCCATTTCACTGTCTTTGTACAGATCCTCCTCCTCCAGCAGCAGAGGCTCCTTGCTTGCAATGTTTTCTCTTAGCTCAGCCGATTCCCTCACTTCCTTCAGCAACTGGATTCTCTCCTGGCATCCGGGCTCCAGATCCTGCTCTTCTGAAATGATGAGCAGGTCAATGTATTCTTGAGTGGAGAGCGGGTTGGGCTTCAACCCAATTTGATGCAAGCGCTGGAGGCTTTGAGATGATTTCTGGATGAGGTCTTCTAAGGCTTGCTTAGCCTCTTTGTATTCCTGGTTGAGATTTCCAAGCACCTTCTCTGGGGTCATCGCCTCTCCAGAGGCGTCTTCATACTTTTGCTTCAACTCACCATAGGACTTAATCTCTTTTGTTACTTTATATTCAAACAGGTATTTCTGATTGAAGTGCATGTTCCACACGCAGCGGCCGGGGCAGACATTGCATTTTCCCGTATTTGCATTGATAGCTACACAACGGCGCTTGCCCTCATCTCTCCGGATCGGGCAAGGATAATGGCAGGTGTAGTGACAGTTCATGCAGTTGGTTGTGAATCTTCCAGCGGCAGAGATGTCTTCCTTCCGTGGCACAGATTTTTCTACTTCAAACTCAAAGTTTATGTTGGCTGCCATCTCAGACTTGTGTTCATCCAGAGCTTGCCTCGTCTTCCTCAACTCTTCCAGCTTTCCAAGGGCAGCTCTGATTTGGGGCTGCAATCCTTCCGTGATGGCTTCTAGCTCCTTCCGTTCCCTGAGCACTTCCTTCGACAGAGTTAAGCTTTCACTGTCAAGTAAGCTTAACGTGTCAAAAAATGTCTTCATGCTTGCAGTGCTCATTTTCCAGAACTTGTCATTAGGATTTAGGTTCCCTTCATTCTCTTCAGAATTGTTGGCAAACAGAGCTGAATTGTTGAATTTGAAGTGAACTGGGCTACCACTGGAATCTTTAATGCATGGCACATCCTCCTTCTTCATGGCTTCCAAAACAGGAAGAGAATGTCCATCTGCAAAGGTGATCAGGATCTGGATGTTGTTCCTTATATCTGTCCCAAAAATGGAGAGCACAGAGTCAAAGACGTATTTCTGGGCACGAGTTAAGGCAGCACTGGAGGCCTGAAGTACAATACAGATGACATCGACATGATCCGTTCCTCCTGGGGTGGAGAAAAACTCCCGGATCTGCTTTGTTATCTGTTTGTACTTCTTCCTACCTTCCATGTCTCCAAATCCTGGAGTGTCAATGAAAGTGAGAGAATAAGGGACTTCCAAACCCTTCTGGTGGTGCACTACGTAGGCGGTCACTTCTGAGGACTGACTTTCAGCCTGAATGAGTTTGAATCGGAAATCATCTTCCCATTGCACACCCAGGATATGATTGATCATGGCATTGACGAGAGTGGTTTTCCCTGACCCTGTTGCCCCCATCATCACGATTACTTTGTTGGGGACCTGCATGTTCTCTTTCCCTAGCTGGTATGTTTGGATGGGGGCCGATCTATCTGAGGTGGCCTCCAGGGGAAGTACATACACGGATGGTTGCCCATCATCCACCAGGGTGCTTTCCTGGAGGTATTTTCGAGCTAGTATATTTGCCCCGTCTTCTTCTTGTTCCATTGCTGTGGAAATCTCAGTCTCTTCGCTGGGCTCACTCTCAGCCCCATCAAAACATACAGCGGAGACTCTGAGTCTGTAGGTTCTGTGAGGCTTCAGCCCATCCAGCTGACAGGACTCTGTTCTTGCCCCTGTTCTTTTTTCATTCCATTTGTCCTTATCGCCCACCAGCCCCCTGTACTCCACTTTGTACTCCTTTATATCAGCTCCAATGACCTTTGGGCTCTCCCAGACAAGACTGATTTTGGAAGACTCTACAGTTCTCTCTCTCGGTTTCCCAGGAGGGCTGGTAGGAAGTGTCTGTACAGATCTACTCAAATCACTAGTCTCACTAAGTCCTGGTTTGCTCCTAGCAGTGTATCGAAACTGGTATTCTGAGTCTGGCCTCAACCCTTTCACGTGGAATGTCTCCTGACTGTTGTCTGTACTCACAATCTCCCAGTTTCCTTCTCCTGCAGTCTTGTACTCTACTTGATAGCTGGAGATTGAAGCCCTCCCATACTCCGCAGGTTGAAATGTCAGCTGCACATGGTCATGTCCAATTCGGCCAACCAAGGGAGGGAGAGGTTTTGAGGGCAGCTCAAAGTTGCTGTTGACCATCTCCCCATCTTCATAGAGGTAAATGGAAGCTCCTGGATTGTCCTGATCCAGGACAGAAGCCACAAGGAACCGGATCTTCCCATTGGATTCATTGACTTGGGCAAAATCCATAAGAGATTTGGCAGTTTTTCGAGCTTTTCGGGTTCTCTCTCTTTGCTCAAACCAGGCTTTCCAATGCTCTGTCTGTCCTCTTGCTGGCTTCTGAAGCCATTGTTGTAAGCTGGTTAAAAATGGTTCCTCGTCATGTAAAGAACTGAAGGTAAATGTGAGAACAAACTCATTTGCAGGGCTTAGCACTATTTCTTCCAGTTTGTTCTTGGAGGAGATGACTTCCATCCCATGTAGAATATTAAGGTAAGAGTTCACCAAATTAATCTCTCGTTCCTTGGCATCCAGAAACTCGTTGAGTCTTTGGCTGTTGAAGGGAGACTGGTTAATGGAAATGAAGATCTCCACCAGTGCTTGTTCCATTTTACCCCCTCCTCTGATAGAAGGCAGGATTCCTGCCAGGTGTTTCTGGAAAGTCTGCCTGTGCTGCTTGCACAAATCCTTGAATCTCTTGATTTTCATCTTTATTTCTGGGAAGATGTTCGCAATGCGGGTGTTTGTCAAGTCATTGCATCTCATCCTGATTTCATTCAGTTGCTCCATGATGGCTTGACTATCAAAGACCAGGGCCAAGCTGATCTCACGCACCATCTTAGCTGCTTGGGAATCCAGCTTGGTCAGTGGGTACAGCCAAACTGTTACAGGCACAGCCCTCTCCCCGTCCTTCCCCAGCATTGCAGGAAGGATGGCGTATGTTTGCATGGCATCTTGGAAAGTCACTGGATTCCTCTCCAGAACAAAATCTCCATGGAATTTGCAGCGGAACTTCTGAGTGTAGTTCCTCTCCCTCTCTGTTGTTTTGAAGGCCAGTTTCCCTTCAGCAGAGACTATAAAGAGCTGGATTGCACCTCGGAGTTCTGCTTCTATCTCTTTTACAGACTCAGAAGAAGAGACTTCTCGGTCAAATACAAAAAAAGCCTGGGCGCCATAGAAGATGGCAGTGACAACGTGGGTAGCCATGCCATGCTCAAATACAGATGGGTAAGAGATGTTTTGATTCCCAAATGGCTCATCGTCAGTTGAGCATATTTCGTGGTAGCTTTGTACTGCAGAGTGACTCTGGTCTGTTGCCCAAACTTTTTGGTGTCTTCAAGGAATTTGCCTGATCCTTGCACTTCAACCAGCCCCCCCAGAAAACTGACTCTGAGTGATGCTGAGGCATTGAGGGCAGAGGTCTTATCTTCAATAGAATCAGAAGCAATGATCTCAATTTCAGTCTTGGGCTGCCTTTGGATACTCAAGTCCTTCCGAAGTGAGTCCGGGTCCCAAAGGGTGACCCCTTGAATGAAGCAGAAAAACAAACACACAAGGCTTTAGTTATGTTCAGATAAATGGGCAGCACTGCTGCCTGAAATGCTTAGGATGTATGGGGAAACAACAGGTATTAATTGTGGTAGAATAAAGCCACCATTGTCCATGGTGAGTACACTAATTCTTTGGTCTCAGTTTCACCCCAAGTCAAACAGCTTTGCACCTTTTCTAAAGCATTGTGCAAAGACTTAAAAATTGTTTTACTAGAGATGATAGTAGGAGGCATGTGAACCCTGTAGATGATTGTGCTTCCCTGTGGACACCTTCAACTGTCACAGTTTTTATTTTATTTTTTGTTTCTCTTCAGCATAGGAAACTCATTTTCTGTGTCCCATGCTGATTTGCTAAAGCCCCCAAGAATGTCCTCTTGGTGAGCAGCATTTGTGAATTATGTGCCACAGGAATCTATATGCTTTCTGATATTCTCAAAGAATATCACAATTAAGTGCTTTAAGAACTCAAGTGGATGCTATCCTGACCTGATTTGTCACCACAACCTGTCTCATTTCCTCTCAAACTCTCTTCCTGAGTACGTTAGTTCAGGCACTGGGATCGGCCCTCAGTCTTCTGTCATGAAGACAGATGCAAATAATTCATTCAGCTTCTCCTCAATCTCCTTATACTCCATTAGCAGTCCTTTGACTCCCTTGTCATCAAAGTGTCCAACCTCCTCCATAGATGGTCTCCTGCTACAAAGGTATTTAAAGAACTTCCTGTTGCTGGTTTTAATGTTTTTCATAATGTACCGTATTTTTTGCTCTATAAGACTTTTTCCCTCCTAAAAAGTAAGGGGAAATGTGTGTGCATCTTATGGAGTGAATGCAGGCTGCACAGCTATCACATAAACTAGAACAGCAAGAGGGATTGCTGCTTTCACTGCGCAGCGATCCCTCTTGCTGTTCTGGCTTCTGAGATTCAGAATATTTTTTTTCTTGTTTTCCTCCTCCAAAAACTAGGCGCGTCTTGTGGTCTGATGCGTCTTATAGAGAAAAATATGGTACTCCCCCAATTCTTTTTAAGCATCTCTTAATTTTTGCTTGCATTCCTTTGTCAAAGTTTCTATCCCTTTTTCTTCTATATTGGATATGAGTTCCATTTTCTGGAGGAAGCTTTCTTGCTTCTAACAGAGTCCATCAGTAATGATACCTTGTTGACAAAGGGCTCACTAACCCAGCCCTGCATCATATAACCAATAATTCTTCCCTATTCTGGAAGAAGCTGAAGTCATCTCCCTTGGAGTCTTTGTGTAAGTGTGTTTCATTTTGAGTGCCATGTTCCATCCCAGACATGGCAACCAAAGTGATCTCCCCATCGGCTTTACCTGGGATGAGGGCATCTTTGCGGCAGTCATACAGCATCCCAAGCTGAAATGGGCGGCCCAACGCTGGTATTTCAACCGCTCCATCTGAAATGGCCATGGCTTCGGTCCAAATCGCTCTCCCTTCTCCCTTTGCCTCCCTGCAAGAAACAAGAGATGTGAAGGAGGCAGGACAGATTTTAACAGATGTGGAGTGTGAGAGGACAAAGGGAGGAACTAGCGATGCCATCGAAAGAAGGATGCCTGCCACGCACAAAAAGATAAAACAAATAAACAAACAATATACTTAAACACACCAGCAATGGCGCTGCTTCCAGGAAGGTCAGTGAAATGCTGCTTCAGCTAGAAGTGCTGGGGGAAGTAGCAGGCACACCCAGAGCACAGGGGGAGAATCTGAGCATCAGCCGCCTCCTCTTCCTGTCTCCACTGCAGTCCTATGTTGCACTAGAAGAGGGGTTTCCCAGCTGTGGTCTGGGGGCCACCAGTTGCCCACAAGCTTCATTCAGGGGGGTCTGCAGCATCTCTGCACCACGTATTTAGATTGGGTTTTAATGGCATTTTTCACTCATTCTATTTGTTGCATTGCAATTTATTTTCCTGCAATTTGAATTCCATTGGATGAAAATTGTAATATGATAAAATGCAATTCTAGGTGCTGCTGCCCCTGCTTGCGTAGATTGCCAGCTCTGCCAAAGCCACACCTTCATACCCTCATTGGTGGACGAAGGTGGGGGCGGGGTAGGTGGGCCACCCCGGGTGCCATTCGGGGTTGTGTGTGTGTGACATTGCAGCTGCCCCCCGGGATGCTCGCCGCTTGCTGCGCACCCCCCCAACGTGTGCCACGTCCCTTTGCAGTGTCATGCCACGCTCAACAATATTGTTAGTGTTATTTACCCTCTCACATTCAGTGGGCTGTATCCAACCAAGTTCTACTCAAGAGTATACACACTGAAATTAATGAACTGAAGTGAGACTCATATCCATCCATTTCAGAGGACCTACTCTGATGTACACCTACTCAACATTCTCCGATGGAATTTTTTTGTTGTTGTTTAGTCATTTAGTCATGTCCTCCTCTTCGTGACCCCGTGGACCAGAGCATGCCAGGCCCTCCTGTCTTCCACTGCCTCCCGCAGTTTGGTCAAACTCATGCTGGTAGCTTCGAGAACACTATCCCACCATCTCGTCCTCTGTCGTCCCCTTCTCCTTGTGCCCTCCATCTTTCCCAACGTCAGGGTCTTTTCCAGGCAGTCTTCTCTTCTCATGAGGTGGCCAAAGTATTGGAGCTTCAGCTTCAGGATCTGTCCTTCCAGTGAGCACTCAGGGCTGATTTCCTTAAGAATGGAGAGGTTTGATCTTCTTGCAGTCCATGGGACTCTCAAGAGTCTCCTCCAGCACCAGAATTCAAAAGCATCCATTCTTCGGCGATCAGTCTTCTTTATGGTCCAGCTCTCACTTCCATACATCACTACTGGGAAAACCATAGCTTTGACTATACGGACCTTTGTTGGCAAGGTGATGTCTCTGCTTTTTAAGATGCTGTCAAGGTTTGTCATTGCTTTTCCCCCTCCAAGATTTCTCCGATGAAAAGAGAGATGTCCTAGGTTGTCCCAAGTTGACTCTCTCTCTCTCCCCTCTTCCAGTTTGCTGGGAAATGGTTCCTGGTCGGGGTGGCCTCACAATGCAGCTACTTGAGTGAGAACAGCCACCGGCTTGAAGCAACCAACCTGGTGGTCTCTGTGGGTGGTGCAAGCTCTCAGGGATCCTTGTTGGTGAGCACCTTCCGCCCGCTGTGTCCGAGGAAGCCGGCGGGATCCGCTGGTCCCAGATGAATGGGGTGTAGAGGAAAGGTCATCTTCTTTGTTGGTCCCCAAGAATCATAGAATTGTAGAGTTGGAAGGGACCCCAAGGTTCCTCTACTCCAACCACCTGCATTAGAGGAATCTCAGCGACTGTTGGGATTTTTCTACTACATGCCATTCTGTGCAGCTTCACACAAAGCAATTAGAAGGTGGCCAAAAGCCAAGGATGACTGAGCAGAGGAGTTATTCTGCCTAGAGATATGGGATCTTGGATACAGCTCTACCATTGGTTGATGTTTCACACAGGCATGATGACTTATGACCTTACTGACTGGATAGTGTTGTTGGTCAGTGTGGTGTTTTGAGAGTCGTTTGGAGTTTGTTAAGAGAGAGCCAGTTAAGATCCGCATCTGTTCTTGTACATAGTAACTTGTAGAGTCTGCTGTTTTTAATAATCACCTCTAAGTAACCAAGTTACTGGTAGCAGCGTCTTGTTCCTGCTTCGTCCATCCTGCCTGCAACTGATTGATTTCTGGAACTCTGCGTATGCTCTGCTAAGGTCTGGCTAAGGTCCTGCAACAGGTCAAAGTTGCAAAACACCAATAGCTACAACATCCCTGGCAGATGGCCATCCAACCTCTGCTTAAAAACCTCCAAGGAAGGAGAGTCCACCACCTCCCGAGGGAGACCGTCTCTACAGTCGAATAGCTCTTACTGTCAGAAAGTTTTTCGCGGGAGGACTCTGTGTGCAACGTTTTTGGGTAATCTAGTGAGGTATAAATGTGGTAACCCAAAGGAATGCTCTTTCGAGCAACTATTACATGCGCACATAGAGCCAATGCCTTTGTTTTTTTCTGCGGAAGGAGGGATGTGTTTTTCTGGTGCTGGCTGTTCCTAGGCAAACAGCCTATGGTACAGGATCCGGCCTGACGTGGACCGGCCGCTGGAATACTGCCCTGAATGCTTGGTCTTCTCCTCCATCTCTGCAGGGACGGCGTCTGTTGGAACATCCAGCAAACCTACTTCCCCACCAAGATTCCTGGCAGGTTCCTCTTGAAAGGTGGGCGAGGATTGGGGTGGTTTTGCCCATGGGGACCTCCCTCACATTTCTCCCAGTTCCCCCTTCCCCTGAGCAATAATCCTCAGCTTTTCTACTACTGCACGTGTTTCAAGCACTCCCAGTTGATATCTCTAGAACACCTACAGCATGGGTAGGCAACCTAAGGCCCAGGGGCCGAATCCGGCCCAATCACCTTCTCAATCTGGCCCGCGGACGGTCCAGGAATCGGCGTGTTTTTACATGAGTAGAATGTGTGCTTTTATTTAAAATGCATCTCTGGGTTATTTGTGGGGCATAGGAATTCGTTCATGTATTTAAAAAAAAATAAAGTCCGGCCCTCCACAAGGTCTGAGGGACAGTGGACCGGCCCCCTGCTGAAAAGGTTTGCTGACTCCTGCACCCCTGTGTGCCAAAGTTTTGCTGTTGCCATTCAGCGAAAACCCCACATTTTGCAGCACCCCAAATCTGAGTAATCCATATCTCAAATACGAGGCTGACACTCAAAAATCCGACAGTGTCCAAATCACTCTAAACTGGTGCCAAGTTTTGGCAACAGTTTTGCAGTGAAAACCCCATGTTTTGCAGAGCCCCGCAAGCTGAGTCCCCTGGACTTGTGCAGAGTGTTTTCCCCTTATCATAAGAAAGTTGTGACGCTGCAAAATATTCCAGGCTGTGGATTTTGCACACACCCCCTTTAATTTCAATATATAAATAAATTCATGCATCATGGTATGCCATGTTGCTGTCACTGATGAAATCTTATGTTTGGGTGCGGTTAGAGTTCCCCAGCAGGTTTTCTTTACTCTCCACAACTGAGATAATTGCTCATTTTTCTTCCTTTGGCCCTTTCCCTCAGGGTTTTGCGACTCGGCTGACCAGTTCCACATCCTCAATGGTGAGTTGCAAATTGAACTGCGTCTTCCCTGCTAAATAAATAAATAAATGAAAGTAAATCAGAACCAGAAAAGCTACAGGACTTTCTGTGGCAACTCAAGAATCACGGTAAAACAAGTGCTGATTCAAATAGGCCAAATGTAAAATAGCCTGTTAACACAAAGAACGTGGTATGTTTGAGTTTATTCATCTTGCTGAAGAACGCAGAAATATCAAAGATCCCTTTTGACTTCAAGGAAGACTCTGCTGTTGCGCAGACTTTCTAGCCAAATAATCAGGGATGCATACTGAATTGATTTCAGACTTTTATTAGGAATAACTGCATTTTCAGCTTCAAACTCTGTTTGACAACAAACAAACTTGTTAAAATTGACTTCATTTATGAAGCTGTAAACTGGAGGAAAGAAAAACTGCAAAGTAAGAAACAGTAAATATTAGCAATATAATACGTTTATATAAATAGTGACCATTTTAATTATCAACCATGACTTAAAGACCAGAAACAAACGTACTTATTAAGTGAAAAAACCACACAAAATTTGGGGTGGGTGGGAACCAACTGAAAACAGAATTCTGCAATGGGTTGGGAACATGAGCCAGGAGGACCTGGTACTCCCTCAGGTTCGCAGCTGAAACTTCACGTCCAGGTGAGCTTGCCTTGCCAGGGTCATGATTTCCGACAGCTTCACAGCCATCTCAGCAGCTTTGTCCAAGTCGTCACACGCCAAGATCTTCAAGCCGCTCTCTGCTATCAAGGCCTTGGCTGCCTCCACCTGCGTCCCTTGAAGCCTCACAACAATCGGGATGCTAATGGCCGATTTCCTCTGATCAGCTCCGTGAAAATCGGGTCCTGTGCGTTGCGGCGAAGCGGGGACCCTCAGAAATCGCAGGCGCTTTTGGACTGAAATTGGATTAAAAGCGGAAAGGTTTTATTAGCAAAACAACGTCAAAATTGGCTACCGCGGTGGGAAGTGTAAACAGGAAGTCCGCTTCTCCGCCTTGCAAACAGTGTAAAGCATAGAGACTTTGAGCTAAACGTGGGAAACTGATCTGAAAAAAGTTTTTTTTTTCTGACCTGAGAACTTTGGCTGAATCTACCCTTCGGAGGGATAAAAAAGGAAAAGGTTTTGTTTGTTTCTTCCGGACTGTTTAAAGATTTAAAGAGCAATCTGTCAGTGAGACGTCTCAGCTGTCAAAATCTGTCAGTGTTATCTGTTGGCTGTAAGGAGGATATATTGTGGCCAATCTCGTTGGGAAAAATAATTGGAAAGATACATTGTGGACTCTCCTTCTTTGTTTATACTTAGTTTCTCTTTCCTTTCCTTTCCTGCCATTTAAGAAGGAAAGTAACTGGTTTGGTGGCAACAGTGTCCACCTAGTGGGACTCCCTGAAATTACAGTAAAGGAATTTTCCACTTGTAAACAGGAACAGCATACTTGGAAAAGAATTTGACCTTCACATTGTTATGGCAGATGGCCAGAAATTAGACCCGTCAGTTTTGAGATCTGGGAAACCCTGGGGGCATCGAAGGCAATCATCTGCTGGTTTGCCCACATCAGTAACACAACCTAAGTCTAGTGGAATGTCTGAGGAAATTCTAGCCAATGCCCTGGCTAAGATTAACGAATCTTTACAACAACTTAGTACAAAGGTGGAGGAGACGAATAAGAAGGTTGAGGAGACGAACCAGAAAGTGGACATTGCAAATAAAAAAATTGACTTAAACACAGAAACACTAGACAACTTGGAGAAAAAGGTAAACAGCAATTCGGAATCTATTCAGAGATTATTGCAAGATTCAAAGTCTATACAGGAAAAAACCGCTGCTGTGGAATTCAAATTGGGGCAATTGGAAACTGAGAAGGTACCAGACTTACAGAAAGAGATTGCAGAACATAAACTGATGTTGTCTATGATTGATCTTAAAGACAAACAATCTAATCTAAGAATTAGAGCTGTTCCTGAGCTGGAGAAAGGCACCTTGATAGATTTTTTGACACAAGAATTTGTGGAATTTTGGAAATCGGATTTGAAACAAGAGGACTTTAAGATTGTGAGGGCCTTCAGATTGGGGAAAGGAGGAAGAAAGATTAAAATAAGGGACTGTCTGATTACCCTCCGATCCAAAGAAGAAAGGGACAAAATTTTGGGCCTGCACTACGAGAAACCCTTGACAATTCTACAATCAAAAGTGGAAATTTTTAAAGATATACCAAAACATCTTTTGGACCTAAGACAAGATTTTGGAGACTTGGTGGCCTTGCTGAGAAAAAAACAAGATCCTTTTCAGGTGGGAATTCCCTCAAGGTCTATCCTTTAGTTTTAAAGGAAGAAAGACTAAGATAAGATCAGTGGAGGAAAAGAATAAGTTTTTGAGCGCATACGAAGAAGATCTACAGAAAGGATTGGGAAAAGACACTGCTGTACCGGATAAGAGTTTGCAAAAAAAAGTGAAACCAACGCCACCGACAGACATAGACAAACTTCTTGGGGCTGTTGGAGGAGAAGGAGAGTAACTACAAAATGACACTGCAAGTTTTAAGTTGGAACATTAATGGCCTAAATTCATCGGCAAAAAGGGGGAGAGTATTTCATACATTAAAAAAAGAACATTTGGACTTGATTTGTTTACAAGAGACGCATGTGACAAGGCTACACCGGAAAATTTTGATAAATAAAAGATTGGGAGAAGAATTTATTTCATCGGATAATGTGAAAAGAAGAGGAGTAGTACTCTATGCAAAGGAAAGCCTGTCACCAAAATTTATATTTAAAGATGATCAAGGAAGATATATAGCAATTGAAATTCAGTTTCAAGGACAGAAGTTTTTGATATTAGGTGTCTATGCACCAAATGAGGGAAAATCAGAATTCTTTAAAAAATTGTACGAAACCCTTTTGGATTATTTGGATTATAACATTATCTTGATGGGAGATATGAATGGAGTAGTGTCTACAAACATGGATAAAGCCCAAAGACAAACGGTGACGAAAGATGGAAGATTACCAAAGACATTTTTTGAAATGACTGACAATATGGATCTTGTGGACATTTGGAGAATAAAGAACCCCTTGGAAAGAGAAGGAACCTTCTTCTCTGAAGCAAAAATGACATGGACAAGAATAGACCAAATCTGGATAACTAGAGGACTGGCCCCTAAGATAAAAAAAGCGGTGATTTGCCCGAAAATTTGCTCTGATCATAATCCAGTAAAGATTGAAATGATACTAACGCCAATTGGAGCTTTTAGATGGAGGATGAATGACTCCTTGTTTAGGAATGAGGAAATTATTAAAAAGGCCCAGAAAAATTTGAGAGACTATTTTGAGATAAATATGAACACTACGACTGAGAAAAGAGTGATTTGGGATGCCAGCAAAGCGGTGATGAGAGGATTTCTGATACAACAAAATGCAATTAGGAAAAGATATCAAAATGAGAAGAGAGAAAAAATTCTGGAGAAAATTAAGGATGGAGAAAAAAGACTGAGGGCGAAACCGAACTCACAGGAGATCTTAAAAGAGATAAAGTTATACCAAGTACAATATATGAAGCTGATGAATCAGGAGATAGAATGGAAGGTCAAACAGATGAAACAAAAGACCTTTGAATCGGCAAACAAGTGTGGGAAATTACTGGCTTGGCAAATGAAAAAAAGACAAAAGCTGAATACGATCACGAACTTGGTAGTAGAAGGGAAGAACATACAGAATCCTGGAGAGATTCGGAAGTGCTTTCAGAATTACTTTAAACAGCTATACACGCAGTAGACCCAGAAAGAATTAGACATTGATCGGTTTTTGAAAATTAATGGATTACAAAAAGTATCTCAAGAGAGCAAATCAATACTAAACTGTATAATATCTGACCAAGAGGTGGAAGGAGCCATTCAGAATATGAAATTGGGCAAATCTCCAGGACCGGATGGTCTAACTGCAAAGTATTACAAATCTTTGAAAGAATGGTTAATGCAACCTTTGAAAGAAGTTTGCAATGAAATACTACGGGGAGGAAAAGCACCCGAGTCGTGGAAAGAAGCATACATTACACTTATACCAAAAACTGAAGTGGAAAAGACACAGTTGAAGAACTACCGTCCCATATCTCTACTTAATGTGGATTACAAAATTTTTGCGGAAATTATGGCTAAAAGATTAAAAAATGTATTGGTGAAAGAGATTCATAAAGATCAGGCGGGCTTTCTCCCGGGGAGACATCTGTCAGATAATACGAGGATTATTAATATTCTAGAAAAATTGCAAGTTAATATTAATACTAAAGCGGTTTTAATATTCATAGATGCGGAGAAAGCTTTTGATAATATTTCTTGGAACTTTATGAAGAAAAATTTGCAGGGGATGGGGGTAGGCCAAAGTTTTGAAAATGGTTTAGGTGCAATTTATTCGGAACAAAAAGCTAAGCTCATCGTGAACAACGTAGTTACAGAAGAATTTAAGATAGAGAAAGGAACAAGACAGGGTTGCCCAATCTCCCCATTGCTTTTTATATCGGTCCTGGAGGTTTTGCTCAATATGATTAGAAAAGACCAAACTGGTTAAAGGTATACAACTCGGAGCTAAACAGTACAAATTGAAAGCTTTTGCTGATGACTTAGTTTTGACACTACAGGAGCCAGAATCCAGTACAAAAAGAGTATTGCAATTAATCCAAGAATTTGGTCAAGTAGCAGGTTTTAAATTGAATAAGATGAAAACTAAGGTATTAGAGAAAAACCTTACAGAGATTGAGAAAGAGAGGTTTCAGAAGGAGACAGGATTAACAATAGTTAATAAAGTGAAATATTTAGGGGTGCATATGACTGCTAAAAATGTGAATTTGTTTAAAGATAATTATGAAAAATGCTGGTCAGAAGTAAAGAAGGATTTAGAAATATGGTCAAAATTGAAGTTATCATTGTTGGGCCGAATTGCTGCGATAAAGATGAATGTATTGCCTAGAATGTTGTTTTTGTTTCAAACATTGCAAATTGTGGACAAAATGGACTGCTTCAAGAGGTGGCAAAGAGATATTTCCAAATTTATCTGGCAGGGCAAAAAGCCTAGAATAAAATTTAAGATATTAACAGACGCGAAGGAAAGAGGTGGATTTGCCCTGCCAGATCTTAAACTTTATTATGAATCAGCCGCATTTTGCTGGCTGAAAGATTGGCTGCTTCTTGAAAATGCGGACATTCTGGACCTTGAAGGTTTTGATAATGTGTTTGGATGGCATGCATATTTATGGTACGACAAGGTTAAAGCGCATAAGGCCTTTAAGAACCATATTGTCAGGAAAGCATTGTTTAATGTTTGGGTGAGATATAAGGATTTGTTGGAAAGTAAAACACCAAGGTGGCTGTCACCAATGGAGGCTAAGGCATTGAAAAAAACTAATATGGAGACAAATTGGCCAAAATACTGTGAAATTTTAGAACAAGTTGGAGATAAACTAAAACTGCAGAGTTTTGATAAATTAAAAACTAAAGTTCGAGACTGGCTTCATTATTATCAAATAAGGGAGGCTTTTAACCTAGATAAAAAGATTGGTTTCCAGGAGGAAAAATCCAAACTGGAAACGGAATTGTTAGAGCCTAAAATTAAGAATCTGTCAAGAATGTATAACTTGCTGCTGAAATGGAATACACAGGATGAAATGGTTAAATCTGCTATGATTAAATGGGCACAAGATGTTGGACATAACATTATGTTTGCTGACTGGGAACGGTTATGGACCACAGGTATGAAATTTACGGCCTGTAATGCCTTAAGAGAAAATATAATGAAAATGATTTAAGGTGGTACTTAACCCCAGTCAAGCTTGCGAAAATCTATCACTTGCCCGATAACAAATGTTGGAAATGTAAAGAAAATGAAGGTACTTTCTTTCACCTTTGGTGGACGTGCCCAAAGATTAAGGCCTTCTGGGAAATGATATATAATGAATTAAAAAAGGTAATGAAATACACTTTTCTAAAGAAACCAGAGGCCTTCCTCTTGGGCATGGTCGGCCAATTGGTGCGAAGGGAAGATAGAACCTTTTTTATGTATGCGACAGCAGCAGCAAGAATACTCATTGGAAAATACTGGAAGACACAAGAATTGCCTACCCGAGAAGAATGGCAGATGAAAGTGATGGACTATATGGAACTGGCTGAGATGACCGGCAGAATTCGAGACCAGGGAGAAGGGTCGATGGAAGAAGATTGGAAAAAATTTAAAATATATCTTCAAAAATACTGCAACATAAAAAGAATGTTAGAAAGAGGTTGGAAAAAGAATATTAGGTCGTTTTGGCAGATATGACATAATGGATTAAGTAAAAACGAAGTGTAGAAATTGAGGATAGAGGAGGATTAATTATATTATTGAATGTTAAAATAAGTAAATGAAAAGAAGGTTAGAAGGATTTGCTGGAAATACGACCTAAACTAGAATACAAGGCGGGGAGGTGAGAGGAAGTCATGGAAATAAGTTAAAGGGAAAAAGGTTGTAAAGGTTTAATTTGATTTTTGTTATATTTTATTGTAATGTATTTTTGTATTTTTTGTTGAGCTTTTTTTACTGTCTGTTTTTTGTTATATGTTCTATTCTTTTTTGTATGGTTTTTTCTTCTTTTTTGCAATCTTAAAATTGGAATAAATATCTTTTAAAAAAAAAACAATCGGGATGCTCAGCTCCAGCTCGGTGGCCGCCATGATGATCCCTTCCGCGATGATATCACACCGCATGATGCCGCCGAAAATGTTCACCAGGATGGACTGGACCCTGTCGTCCGAAGTGATGAGCTTGAAGGCCTCTTTGACCTGCTTGGCTGTGGCGCCACCTCCGACATCCAGGAAGTTGGCCGGTGTCCCTCCGTGGAGCTTGATGATGTCCATGGTCGCCATTGCCAAGCCGGCGCCATTCACCAGGCACCCAATGTTCCCATCTAGCCCCACGTAGTTCAGATCCACGCTGGCCGCCTCTCAGTCCCTCGTGTCTTCTTGGCTCCAGTCCTGCAGCGCGAAGATCTTCTTCTGGCGGAACGCCGAGTTGCTGTCGAAATTTATCTTGGCATCCATGCACATCACTTTCCCTGTAGAGTCCTCCACCATGGGGTTGATCTCCACCATGAGGGCGTCGTACTTAACGAAGATGTTGTAGAGCTTCATCATATTGTCCGCAGCCTCATCCGCCACCTTGGTGGGGAAGCCCATCTTCTGGGCGAGCTTCAGGGCCTGGTCCTTCCGGATGCCTTCCACAATGTCAACAGGCTCCTTGACGATGGCTTCAGGGTCCTCGGCGGCCACGTCTTCAATGTTGACACCCCCCTGAGAGCTGCCGATGAGCACGGGGCCCTGGAAGGACTTCTCCATCGTGATGGCAAAGTAGTACTCCTTCCTCGGGTAGCGGCGCTCGCAGACGAGGACTTGGTTGCAGATCCGGCCCTGCTGTCCCGTCTGCTTGGTGAAGAGCTTCTTGCCGATCATTCTGGAGGCGATCTCCCGGGCTTCTTCCGGAGAGGAGACAATCTTCACCCCTCCTTTCAGGCCCCCTTCGAATGTCCCTTTGCCCCGGCCGCCAGCCAAAACCTGCGCCTTCACCACTATGTCTTCCGTCCCAATCTCTTTCGCTGCCTTATAAGCTTCTTCCGGCGTCTTGGCCACCAGGCCGTTAGGAACGGAAACGCCGGCTTCTTTCAGCAGCCCCATGCTCAGGTACTCATGCAGAGACAAGCGCCTCCGCTGCTGTGCTTGCAGCCCAAGGCCTTTAAACCACCCTGGGCTCCCACCAAACACCAGGCAACCTTCTCTGGCCATCAGGCCAGCCACTCTCAAGGTCCACTGGCAGATCATGGAAGCCGATTCCCGTTCCCTTCTTTGGAGATTTCTCTTGTTCCTGCTCAGATCTCCTCCAACAGACCTTCCCAACTGTCTTTTAAGGGGCAGGGCATTTCCCAAGATTTCTTCTTTAACGGTCCTCAACCTGCCTTCCCATTGGCTAGGACCAAGATTCCACAATGACATCACCACCCTGACCGGACACGCCTCTTTGGTGTCTAAATGATGTTATTGTAGTGGGACACCCCTTAAGATTTGTGGGTGGGCAGGAGCGGATGTGATGTTTGTTTGCAATATTTACTTTCCTCACCCTGAAGAAGTGCAGAGATTATGGTTCTACCAAGGAATGTACATATGGCAATCGGGCATGTCGTTTTAGGGGTGAAACTTAATTATTTAAAATTTCTTCAGTGAGAATTTCTAAAAATATGTTTTTGGGTGTGAGGAATTAAAGCTTGTTGTTATTTTAGCGACTGGACAACATTTAGCTTGGTAAATCTACATTTGGTTAAAATTCACATAAACTTTCTCTGGAAAACCAAAGAATTTTAATTACGGTATACCTTCTGAAAATGTCAGGTAATGCTAAATAAATAATAATCAATATAAAATAAAACTGCAAGTACTTGGCAGTTATTTCTACGCAGTTCTACATATATTTCACTTACTAATTATATTAATTTAACTAAAATAGCTTTTGAATTCCCAAGTTGTGTTGCAACTTGTTAGCACCCCTCAGTTTTGGAATGTGAAAGTTGGGAAATTCAGCATGCCCTAATAAAGTTACCTTGGCCCGGCGGCAAATGGGCAACAAGGGCAGATCTCTCAGCACAGGTGTGGTGTGCTGGCAAGGCCACCCTCCCATCAGCAATTGTGCTGCAGTATTCTGCAGTCACTGGTGTTATATAAAAAACCCTGCTTCTTTTCCCTTATGGGGTATTCCAGAGCCTGTACAGAATCCTTACATGGGTTCCCTATTGGTCGGAGAAAATAACAGAGGCCAAGCAGAGAATATTGAGAAGCAAGGCAGCTAGTAAGCCTCATCTTTATCAACTGTTGCAACAGGGTCTCCCACTCACCCCACGTAGGAGGGAGGAGGAACCCAGAACAATGGTGCGCAAGCCCTTATATAAACTTTGGAAATTGCCCACCCTGTAGCTCAAGACCACCCCAAAAAACATCACGCATACATCACAGAAGGGGATAGTCTACAGCAGAAATCCGGTTTGCCAGGATACTTGCTAATGGTCACTGATTGCTTTACCTGGGCAGCCTGGCTGTTCTTTTGTGATGGTAAATGCATCAATTCCCGAATCCAGGCCACAGGCTCACCCTAGTCATACACAAGTTACAGGATCTGTAAGCAAAAAGACAAAGGGACGGCCTTCTTCCTTGCAGAGAAATATTTGAAGTCAATTTGGGAGTCAAAATGGTTTGCGAGAGTTAAATTGGCTTCAGGACTGCTCTCCTGTACTATTTCAGGCACGTGGTTTATGTATGTGTTTGCCTTGTACATTTATGAGCGTTTATTTTATATTCGGGACCTTAGAATTCTTATAACACTGGGCTGTGATTCCCGCATTGCAGGGGGCTGGACTGGATGACCCTCAGGGTCCCTTCCACCTCTACAGTTCTATGATTCTGTGATGTCACTGAGAACTCTTTGCCCTGGCCAATGAGAAGGCCAGGGAGGTGGACTGTTGGAAAAGGAACTTTGGGAAGTCTGTCTCCAGGGGCCAGTTGGCAAGTCTGGGAAGGAGAAGAAGTTGGGAAAAGTGGGTGAAAGCTACCTCCATGATCTGCAGGCAGGCGGTGAGCATGGCGAAGCTGCTGGGGAGGACCGCCATGGCCAGGGTGCTGGGTGGGAACCCAGGATTTAATAGCCACGGGCTGCCCATGCAGCAACAAAGGAGCTTGTCTCTGCACGAGTACCTGTGCATGAAGCTCTTGAAAGACGCCGGCGTTTCCGTTCCCTACGGACTGGTTGCGAGGACACCGGAAGAAGCCTACCAGGTGGCAAGAAACATGGGCACCACGGACCTGGTGGTTAAGGCGCAGGTTTTGACAGGAGGGCGGGAGAAGGGGACCTTTGAGGGCGGCCTGAAAGGAGGAGTGAGGATTGTCTATTCTCCGGAAGAAGCCCGGGAGATCGCCTCCCTGATGATTGGCAAGAAGATCTTCACCAAGCAGACGGGAGAAGAGGGCCAGATCTGCAACCAAGTCCTCATCTGCGAGCGCAGGTACCTCCGGAGGGAACACTACTTTGCGATCATGATGGAGAGGTCCTTCCAAGGCCCCGTGATCATCGCCAGCTCCCAGGGGGGCGTCCACATCGAAGACATCGCGGCAGGGAAACCTGAGGCCATCATCAAGGAGCCCGTCGACATTGTCGAAGGCCTTCGGAACGACCAAGCCCTGAAGCTCGCCCAGAAGATGGGCTTCCCTTCTAACCTGACGTATGACGCTGCGGACAATATGATGAAGCTCTACGACTTCTTCATTCAGCACGACGCCCTCATGGTGGAGATCAACCCCATGGTGGAGGACTCGACGGGGAAAGTGATGTGCATGGATGCCAAGATCATTTTTGACAGCAACTCGGCGTTTCGCCAGAAGAAGATCTTTGACCTGCAGGACTGGAGTCAGGTGACGGAGGAAGACAGAGATGCCGCCCACGCAGAGCTCAACTACATCGGCTTAGACGGGAACATCGGGTGCCTGGTGAACGGCGCTGGCTTGGCAATGGCTACCATGGACATCATCAAGCTCAACGGAGGAACCCCGGCCAACTACCTCAACGTCGGAGGCGGCGCCACCGTGGAGCAAGTGACGGAGGCCTTCAAGCTCATCACATCCAACGGAAATGTGCAGGCCATCCTGGTCAACATTTTTGGGGGGCTCATGAGGTGCGACGTCATCGCACACGGCATCATCATGTCGGTCAAAGACCTGGATCTCAAAGTACCGATCGTCATGCGCTTGCAAGGCACGCGGGTCGAAGACGCGAAGGTTTTGATCGCCGAAAGCGGCCTGAGGATCTTGGCCTGCGGCGATCTGGATAAAGCCGCCAAGATGGCCGTGAAGCTCTCGGCAATAATGAACCTGGCAAGGGAAGCGGAAGTGGATGTTATGTTCCAGTTGCCACCCTGACGGAGCAGATTTTTCTGGCTTATTTCTGCAAAAGACACATAAACCCCCTCGTGGTCTCAGTTTTCCACAATAATCTCCCCCAACCCTGTTTTGTGTGTATGTCTGAGTTGTTTAATAAGAACATATGGATCGGATCTTTAACTTACAGTTGCTAATATAATAATTTTCATGTAAATTATTATATTGCCAAAATTTATTCTTCATGGCAGGCTCCCCCACCGCCCAGTTTACAGACGCAAAAATGATGTAATCCTCAACAAGCGTAAAAGAGCTTAAATCTGAAAATACGTTTCATCCAAATAAAAGTCTACAATCAATTGGATTTTTGGAATTGTCTCCCTGATTATTGGACATGTATGACAGCAATATCCGTACTTTCATATGTGAGCAACACTTTTTCTGCCCTAATGAAGAACGGATGAATCTGTCAAATGTGGTTTCTCGTTTTCCCTTTCTTTTCCAATTCTCCACAGGTCTGCATCAGTTTGCAAAAAGTTTTCTTGAAAATTTAGCAGAATTTTACTGCACACATATCTGATGCACTATTGCATAATGCACATACATTTGCAACCAACTTAAACTAATAGAATATGTTTTTGTAACGCCCC